ATACCACATCTCCTAGTTTTTACAATGAAGGAAGTTAAAGATTCCTTTATTTCATTCTATAATGTTCCCTGTGTTTTCATAATTCTTTGGCTTTGTAAGCATTCTGAAGAATACACAAAGTGCTAGGCATGCAGAAAATTTGGAAACTTTAATTACATCAATAAGGGGACAACCATTTGATTCTGAGGAAGGGGCCCGAGAACACAGTTATTTCGTAGTGCATTTCTTTTAGACAATAAAGTCAAATTAAAAAAAATCACACCTGCTCTATCTCAAAAAGATTTTTACAGTGTAATGTACTATTGGGACAAATAATATCAAAATTATAGAAAAGTCTACCAGCTCTAACTCAAAATATTGACAATTCTATGTTAAGGGGGTCTAAAATTCAGTTTGACAGCTTCAGACATACTAGTTTTTGACCTTTTTTAACTGGACCAAATCACTACTTAACATAAAGATTCAGCACCCTAATTTTTTTAACATGTAATTTCATCCCCTTACTTAATATTTCATGCATAAAATATAAAGAAATAAATTTGGAAAGTGTATGAAAAAATTTTTCAAGTTATACACTGTCCACACTAGGGACTATATAGGACGATAACTGTGTCCTCGGACCTAATAGTATAGAAATAAAGTTGAGAATGGAAATGGGGAATATGTCAAAGAGACAACAACCTGACCAAAGAGCAGACAACAGCCGAAGGCCACCAATGGGTCTTCAATGCAGCGAGAAAATCCCGCACCCGGAGGTGGTCCTCAGCTGGCCCCTAACTAAAATTGAGTGCTAGTTCAGTGAAAATGGACGTCACACTAAACTCCAAAACATATAAATGAACTAAAATTAAAAAACATACTAGACTAACAAAGGCCAGAGGCTCCTGACTTGGGACAGGCGCAAAAATGCGGCGGGGTTAAACATGTTTTGTGAGATCTCAACCCTCCCCCTATACCTCTAGCCAATGTCGAATAAAGAAACACATAGCAATACGTACAGTAAAACTCAGTTCAAAAGAAGTCCAAGTCCGATGTCAGAATAGGTAACAAAAGAAACTAAGCAAAATGACAATGATACATAAATGAACAAAGGACTACTAGCAGTTACTGACATGCCAGCTCCAGACCTCAATTAAACTGATTGAAAGATTATGTCTTCATCATATGAAAATCAAGAACAATCCCTCCCGTTAGGGGTTTAATATCATTACCATCATAAAATATATGAGAAGAACATAACCCGTATCATGCCAACAACTGGTTTTAGAATAAAAACCTAACCAATTCTAATTAAACTTTGCATGAACTAAGCTTAGGCAATTATAAGATAGTTGGCCAAGGTTCATGGCCATAGGATATATATTATAGAAACTATGGCAATTTTAATATTGAAATTTGAATGTTTAATTTTGACGTTTAAATCAAATAATTTCAACTATCAAGATGTGGGCTTAAAAAAATTAAATATTGCAAAAATTTGCTTTTGAAATGCTCTTTAATATAATATATTAAGTATTAAAAGCAACTGAACACTCATTTGATTTATCAGATTTATTACAGGTTGCAATTCTGTAAATACTGACAATGCAATTTCCCATAGGAACTCCCTTTGCGGCTAAAACTGTGACACTTTTACTATGAAGTTTCGTGAAAAATAATATCCCAGAACGGAAAGTTTATATGCACTACTATTTTATTCAAAGGTCAGAATATAGGGCTGTGCGGCATATTTTCAACATTTATATGCCCTGAACTTCTAAGAGTTTAAACTTATACTAAAATTCTATACTACCCTTACCTCCATTTTTGGACCTCCTAAGAATTAAAATTTAGCCGCTACCATGTTTTTCAATACTGGTTACATTCCCAAGTGATGTCTCTATGAGATGAAACACAGAGATCATCAATGGGAACCAGTACGTTAACAAATTAACATACCTATGAATATTAAATATCTCCCCAAAAGAGGTGTGGTTTGAGAAACAGCTTTATTTACAAAGTGCAACCTATAATTATTCAAAAGTCAAATTTATATGAGCCTGTGGCTGAAAATAGAGATTTTCGAATTAAGGGGAGCCTTACATAAACATGCATTTTTTTCAACCAATTTGAAGTTTTTGAAGTTTTTTACCATAAATTATTCTTTCATATATATTAAATGTACTTTGAATAGAAAGAAAAGTTATAAAAAGCATACCAAATGAGTATAAAATGGTCTTAGGCTATGTAAGACTGAACATTATTTAGTGTCAATTTAGGCCGTAGCACATATTTACATATACAAATGCATACAGAAGCTATAAGAAATGGAAATTTGTTACTTTTTGCTCATTTCTATGCTAAGATGTCATGGTACAAGAAGTCTAATTGCAAAAGGACTCTTGCATTCAACTTTTTTTGCAGACAGTATGGTCTGATGCACAGTTTTTTCACTTTTCAATGGAAACTTGCATGTAGTTTTAGTCTCAACTGGCATATAATTGAACCACATACTATCCTACAGAAGAAAATAAAGGTAGTATATGAAATGGATAAGGTGCACAGATCATTGTCAAGTGCTTTTTTTACAGATTTAGTGAAATTTTTATGATGGACTACACATTCTATGTACAAAGCGCTTCACATTTCACATACATTAAACAGGCCGTTCGACCAGGGCCTTAATACAATAAAATTGAGAATGGAAATGGGGAATGCGTCAAAGAGACAACAACCCGACCATAGAACAGACAACAGCAGAAGGTCACCAACAGGTCTTCAATGCAGCGAGAAATTCCCGCACCCGGAGGCGTCCTTCAGCTGGCCCCTAAACAAATATATATACTAGTTCAGTGATAATGAACGCCATACTAAATTCCAAATTGTACACAAGAAACTAAAATTAAAAATAATACAAGACTAACAAAGGCTAGAGGCTCCTGACTTGGGACAGGCGCAAAAATGCGGCGGGGTTAAACATGTTTATGAGATCTCAACCCTCCCCCTATACCTCTAGCCAATGTAGAAAAGTAAACGCATAACAATACGCACATTAAAATTCAGTTCAAGAGAAGTACGAGTCTGATGTCAGAAGATGTAACCAAAGAAAATAAACAAAATGACAATAATACATAAATAACAACAGACTACTAGCAGTTAACTGACATGCCAGCTCCAGACTTCAATTAAACTGATTGAAAGATTATGTCTTCATCATATGAATATCAGGCACAATCCTTCCCGTTAGGGGTTTAGTGTCATACCATCATAACATATATGAGAAGAACATAACCCATGTCATGCCAACAACTGGTTTTTAAATAATTGTGTTTAGTGCCGATGCAAAGACCCTATAAGTGAATCAATATTAACGCCAAAATATGCAATCTTTAATGACCTGACAACAGTATCGTAACTATATCCCTTCTTAATAAGTCTATTTAAAACACATTTTGCACATTAAAGCTGGCATTTTTGAAAATAAAATATTCTGGCCCCCATTTAGGTGAAAATAAATCATCTTGCCTTATCACATATGAAAATAAATATTCTGGTCCCAAATATTCAATATGTTCAAATATTTTTGGCTTGCTTTGCTTGCCACAATTAAAAGGTTTCCAATACATGTAGTTAAGATAATCCCTAAAAAAGTTATGCCCGTGTCTGTAATGATGTTTTGGATTAAAATTAAAACCAAACTAGTAAATATCATTGTTATATACCTATGCACATCCATGGTTCTACAATTTGTCGATACCTGTGATTTGGCATTGCACAAGGTCATGTTTTCTCTTGACTGTTAATGACGTCTTTACACTAAATCCATTGGTTATTGGATGCGTACTGATCAATTGATATTTTAGTTTTAGATACATGATATTTTATCTGCTTTGTATCAATCTGATGAGTTAAGAAGCCCTTTTCAACTGATTTTTATAGTTTGTTCATATGTTGTGCTGTTACACCACTGTCCCAGGTTAGGGGAGGGTTGGATGTCTGCAAACATGTTCAACCCCGCAACATTCTATATGTCCCAAGTCAGGAGCCTGTAGTTCATTGGTTGTCGTTGGTTCATGTCTGTCATATTTTTTTTTCATAAATTGTTTTGTTATAAGTTAGGCAGTTAGTTTTCTCAATTGAATTGTTTCATATTTTTCATGTCAAGGCCTTTTATAGCTGACTATATGGATGGGTTTTTCTCATTATAGAAGGCCATACGGTTGTCTATAATTGCTTACATCCACTTCAACTGTGGTTGATAGTTGTCTCATTGGCAATCATACCACATTTCCTTATGTTTATATTGTCGGACGCATAAAATTTATAAAATTGAATTTTTTTCCAGAAGTATTGTCAGTGGTTAATTTGGAGGTCATAGTGTAGGTCCACCCTCCTTTTGACCTGAAAAAAAATATTTATTTTTTATGAAACCTTCCCAAAAAAAATTTTTCGCTAAGCACGCCAGATATTTTACCAGAAATGACTATAACACCCCTCTTTCCTTGGACCCTGGATCCACCCTTGATTGTAAGGCTATTAATATTTTGATATTAATAGAATATACTTACTAGACTTCATTTTGATTGTTCTATTTGTTTGTATGTATATCACAAAAGTTAAATTACTTTAGGGGTTGAGGAGAGGCAGTTTCTGTGTCAAATTGTGGATGAGCAGAAAATAAATATTCTGGCCCTGGTCTGAGTGAAAGTAAATAATCTAGCCACCTTTATATTGGAAATAGATATTCTGACCTCATCAATTTTTTTTTATATTTTGCCAGTTGAGGGATCCAGGATCCTTGGAGCCTTTTATCATTTATAGTTTGCTTTAAAGGATAAACAAAATTGCTTTCAACATAATGAATCCAACTGTATTGAGCTGGTGCTGCATTAAGAAACCATAACAGTGGCTTATTTGTGTTGTTTGCTGGTTATATTTTATGATTTTATACCTTCAGTGCTGAGAAGTACATGTACAGTGCAAAGAATGATTCCTTTCAAAAGAAATTCTTTTTTTTTCAGTTTGACGTCTAATATTACCAATCCAGAAATAGCTTCACTTGAAAAATATGCAAATGTTTATGACACAGCAGTAGAATATGCCTTTTTGTTCAGCATGGTTGGAGTAGGTGCCATTGTCACTGGGTTCTTTGCTGTAATGTTGTGGACACTTGCAGCTGAAAGGCAGATAAAGAGGATAAGACGCTTATATTTTGAATCAGTGATGAGACAAGAAATCGGTTGGTTTGATACTCATGAAAGTGGAGAGTTGTCAACAAGATTTTCAGAGTAAGCTTTAAATGTTTAACTGTGTTTACATCTTAGGTGTGAAATTCTACTTTGGTCAGATATGCTTTATGTCCATGCCAATTGATTATTCCTGAAATGATATGTATAAACATTGAAAGTTTCTATGAAATGGCCTTTAGGGTTTTTCTATGCAAAATTAGACCATATGCTGTCAAAAATTCTAAAGCAGTAACAATGATAAGAGTCTAATTTATCAGGGGAAGTCTGCATGGAGTTTTCTTATATGAATTATGAAATGTCAACATTGGTACTGTAATTTCAGAAATTATTGTGAGGTTTTTATTGTTGCAAATAATGCAACTGGGTGAGCATTGCAATAATAAGAACTCACATCTTGATATCTGATCCATATATATTAATGCACATTTTCCTGAAATTGCAATAATTAATCTCGCATTTTTGTCCATTCTTCACAAATCGCAATAATAAATGCACGCAATAATTTCTGAATTTACAGTTACTTAAAAAAAATTTATGACATGTTTCCTTATGAAATTTGTCTGTATATAGGGCAATATATCATAGATAATTAGTTAGGGAATTTTTTCTTGATGAAGGGAGGTTATTCAAGGTTATTTATTGTGTATATTGAGACAATATTTCATGGATGGATTGTCATGAAATTTTGTCTCATGAAAGGGAGGTTATAAAAATTAATAATTTCACAATTATATCATCAAAATGTTTTATTTTATTGATAATAACAAACATATATTGTAAATGATTGTCAGTATTATATATAGTTATACAGTATATTATGGTTCAATTAACATATTTGACTTTAATCATTTATAAATGTAAATTTCGAAATTAGCTTATGATAAAATATCTGTTTATTTGATATATAAAATACTTGCCTTACAAAATATTTTCAGTTATAAATGTAAAAAGGTGTATGCTTCATGCTTGTGTACTGTAAATGGGAATTATTTAATGCAGCATTTCAGGTTTATACACATACTTTTCAAGAACAATATTTCAAAGATACCAAAAACACTCTCACAATTTCATGGTGTAAGATACCTCACTTTGATTAGGAAATTTTTTCATTGACAGTATTTTACTGTGAAATGTAATGCTGTTACTTGATTGTAAGCGTTGCTCTCTACCTATTGCAGTGTACTCAAAATTTGGACCCAATTGCACATTGTTTTATCAAATTAAACTGTTCATCTGGTCAGAAATTTTAACAAACTGCTGAAAAGAAACACAGTCATGTACAAAAAGTACAAGGTGATAAAATGAAAAAAATATTTTCCTTTTGTTTTATATTACAGAGATAAACATGTAATCCTTGATGGTATGGGAGACAAAGTTCTTACAATTATCCAGTTTCTTATTAATTTATTTTCTGTTGTTTTATATTACAGAGATATGCATGTAATCCTTGATGGTATGGGAGACAAAGTGGCCACAATGATCCAGTGGGTTACTACATTTATTGTTGCTTTTATCATTGCCTTCATAAGTGGATGGAAATTATCATTGGCTTCTGTAGCATTTTGTCCTGTACTTGTAGTAGTTGGAGCATTTATGACAAGGGTAATTTTTTTAGAGATATATCTCATTTGAAATTTATTACACATTCATTAAAACTTAATACTATTTGTTGGTATGTTTTCAAAATAAGAAAACTGGGTGATGAAATTAATAAATGCTAGAACATATGCTCCATGTGATGAAGGTCACATTTTATAAAATATATGAGTTGGTCTTCAGTGAAAGCAGGTACTGGTTGCATAACAAAAGATTGTTATCAGTTGGAAGCAGAAAAATGTGAGTTTGAGAACCTTGAATAAAATGCCAGCTATTGTTTAGTTAAAAAACTAGCCATATAACCCTGTATAGCTGGCTCAGTATGAAATATGCATGGCACTAGCTAGTGTTGTAATTTGGAAACCTGGTACAAGATATTATTCTGGTTTATAGCATTTCAAACCTCAAACTTAGAATATGCAACTGTTCTTTCAAAGAAACTTTCAAAGGACCCTCAGTACCTAACTGCTCTTTTAAAGAAACTTTCACATGATCCTCAGTACCTAACTGCAATGTATACCTCTTATTTTAGTTTTTCATGCAAACAACTTTTGAGTTTCCACTAACGAAACATTAATCTTGGTTTATCTGTACAAATAAAGTAGAGTATGAATTTATGAGCTGTGCTGACAGTTTTTTCTTGTTAATTTTGCATTGAAATTAAATCTATTGTTACTCTTTCAGTGGTTACAAACCATATCACGGAGAGAAGCCCAGAGTTATGCCAGTGCTGGTGCTGTGGCTGAGGAAGTATTTCTGTCAATAAGAACTGTCATGGCTTTCAATGGGCAGACAAAAGAATGTGAAAGGTATGATACTTATGCAATTGTTTTTATCAATGAATTTTTCTATCATACATTTTTTAGATGGAAAAGAAAAGTTTAAAGGTTAGGTTTTATTTCGATCATTAATATTACCCAGACCAAGGAATTGTGATTTGATTGATAAACATTACAGGTGTATGCATACATGATCAAGGGTGTGTTTGTTAATGTTGTCATATTATTGGAAAGTATCTTCTTTATATTGTATATTGATAAAACTCTTACCATTTCCCTATACTGAAAAAGGCAGAAAAAATCATATACTGTAAATTCAGAAATTATTGCGTGCATTTATTATTGCGATTTTTCAAGAATGGACAAAAATGCAAATTTAATTATAACGATTTATTCATACAGGTCCATGTTTCAGTTATCATAATGCGAGTTCTTATTATTGCGATACTCACCCAGTCGCATTATTCGCATAAATAAAAACCTCGCAATAATTTCTGAATTTACAGTATTAATACAAATGGATAGCATATTTTTACAAATACACAAAAAAACTTTTAAACATAAAAATAAGGAGATGTTTTTTGATAGCCAATGAGACAACTATCCCCTAGAGTCTAAATGACATGTTATTGGTTACTTTATGGCCTTCAACAATAAGCAAAACCCATACCATAAAAGGGCCTGACATGACAAAATGTGAAATAATTCAAATGAGAATAACGGTCTGATTTATGACAAAACTTTAAACAAATAACAAATATGACAGACAGAAAACACTGAAAACCACTTAATTACATCCTGACTTGGAACAGGCAGCTTGCTGTTCGGTGTGAGCCAAGGCTCCGTGTTGAAGGCCGTACTTTTACCTATAACTGTTTACTTTTTACACATTGTGACATGGATGGAGAGTTGTCTCATTGGCACTCATACCACATCTTCTTATTTCTACATAAAGACTGTTAATGAATACATTTTAATTATTATTTTTGTTATTTGACGTATTAAAGGACATTACTCTGATGGTTTATTAATCTAATGATAGATTATCCAATATATTCTACTATGACTATGTTATAAAAATTTACCCTCTTTTTTCTGAATTATTTAGTTTTCTTTCAGTTTTACATATTGATTTCTTTTCACGATATAATCCTTGCAAAATTTGAGAATTTTGTACAAATTGTAGCATGAAAACAAACTGATGGATATATTCTTATTATTATAATTTCTGATAATTCATGATTCAGCAATGAATAAAGAATTTCTATTTTCTATTCTCTCGGACTGGTACTAGCTTAAATAAAGTCACCATTAAAAGGTTTTATTTTGCAAATTTAGGTTTGTTTAACAAGTTTATGGTTGTTGGTTGAAAATGATGAAGGAATAAAAACTACTTTATATGACTAATCTTGGTTTTTAGATACAATGAAAACCTGAAACATGCAAATCGTCAAGCATATAGGAAAGGAATAGCTACTGGTCTAGGGCTTTCTGTGTTCTGGTTCTTCATATACTCAGCTTTTGCTGTTGCATTTTGGTATGGAATATATTTAATACGAAATGGAGAAGCAGGATTTGAACCAGGAAAGACTTTAACGGTAAGACAACTTTCATGCACTCTTTCTCTCTTGAATTATAGTGCCAATTAAAAAACGCTCTACTACATTTATCCCTAGAGATGTTTTCTCAAATTCTGTCTAACGCTTGGCTAACCAGTGAACATTGCCCCCTTTATGAAAAATAAAACTGTTGCATCAAGCTCATAACCTGATATCATTTTATCTGCAAATTCACATTCTATTTAGACCTAAAGCCTAGAAGATCCTTTGGTAGTTCTATATTAAAAGCAGCCCCAAGTGCTTTCTGTTACTTTTATAGAAAATCTTCTTTTTTTTTTAAATCAAGAAATAATTTGTCTGGCAGTTTCATGTATTGTTTACTTCCAAATTTATAGCCAGTGATACAACATGAAACCTAAGATGACCACATTTATCAAACATGGTTTTACATAGGATCTTAAAAGAAAATATCAACATCATCTGAAACTACTGAGCCAATTGGAACTAAGCTTGGCTACAGATATTCTTAGGAAGTGTATCCAGTATTGACTTCCTCCAACCAACATAAAAAGGTCCTTGAAAATAAACACCAAAATTCAGCATTCTCCTTGCATTTACAAGGTATATTTGGATCAATTCTGTAATATGTTCTTTCAAGAATTATATCACATTTTGAATCTGCATAATGTTGGGTATTTAGGTATTATAAGGAGATTTTTGATACATTTTCCTTTCATTTTCTTCTTAGTTGATATTAGAGCAATTACAGATAAATTGAGCCTTTATTTTATGAATTCACTATAATGTTTTTAATAGCTCTCCATGCCCTTTAGTGAGCTTTTCTCATCACTAAACATCCTCAGTCCGTCATTGTCTGTTGTCTTTAACTTTTAAAAAATCTTTTTACTCTGAAACAACTTGGCCAAATTTAACCAAACTTGGCCACAATCATGATAAGGGTATCTAGTTTGAAGAAATGTGTCAAATAAGTAAAAACTATCAGCAAGACAAAGATCTACAAATAAGTCAAACAAGGTTGAAATTGTCTTAACAACCCCTTAATGGAGTTATTTCCCTTTAATGAGGATTTTTACCATTTTTTTGTGTTTTTACCTTATATCTGAAAAACTATAACAGATATATATATAAAATTAGATGAGCAAAAACAATCAGCAGGACAAGATCTACAAATAAGTTAAACATGGTTGAAAATGTCTGATGACCCCTTATTGGAGTTGTTACCAATTTTTTGTGTTTTTGCCTTATATCTGAAAAATTATAATAGATAGATCGAAACTTTTATAAGAAAAAATAATCAGCAAGACAAATCTACAAATAAGGCTACCTGCCGAAATCGTCAGTTCACTCCTTCTTTTAATGACAATTTTTACCCATTTTTAGTGTTCTGCTTTTATCTTGAAAACTATTATAGATATATAGCCACATTAAATAGCAAAAGTTCTTGCTCTTTAATGATGATTTTTACCAATATTTTACATTTTTGCCTATTATCTTGAAAACTATAAAATATAAACCCTTTAAATAGCAAAAATGATCAGCAAGACAAGATCTACAAATAAGTCAAATTTGAAAGTCTTTACTTACTCTTTTTTTTGTGTTTTGGCCAAAAACTAAAGGAGATAGAGAGAAAATGTAAACAGAAAAAAAAACAGCAATACTGAATCAACAAAAAAAAGATTTTTGTCATGAACTCTATTCTAGTCCAAAATGTTGGAGAGTGTCCATTGTTGAAGATACACATAGACCTAGGTGAGTGACACAAGCTCTTTAGAGCTGCTTGTTTTCCCCTATATTTAAGTTGATCAGTCTACACATAAATCACTACAAAAAAAACCCTGCAAAAATGGCCTGCAGAATGCAAAAAATTTGATACTTCAAAAAGTAAGCTCCTCATCAGTTTAAAGTGACATTTCATATTTCAATTGAACTAAGAATAAAATATGGTATGGCAGAAATTTAATTTCTGTTTCTTGTTTGATTGACTTAAATTGATACAGCTGCATGTTACACTGCAAATACACTGATTTCTGATAAGCAAATAAACCTTGTTTAAATGTTTTAGATATTTATGGGAGTGATGATCGGTGCAATGTCATTGGGCCAGGCCTTTCCAATGTTAGAGGTGATAGGTAATGCCAGAGGAGCAGCAGAGAAGGTGTATGAGATTATTGAACAGAAATCAGAAATTGATTTCTCCTCAAAAGAGGGGGACAAACTGGAGAAGGTGGAAGGAAATATTTCATTCAAAGACCTATATTTTACATATCCAGCTAGACCAGATGTACAGGTATAGTATACTTATTTTGAAAAATGGAAATTGCTTTAAAGAAAAGTCACAGGAATTATCTGGATATCATGTGTTTTGACCCATTGCTTTGTGAGGACTAAATATTGGCATTTCATTTGCGCCAAAATAATCTTTCATTTGCGCCACAAACCATATTTAATTTGCGCCAAAATAAAAAAAAATATTTGCGCCAATAATACAGGTAAATACAGGTAAATAGTATAAAAAATAGTTTTATTCAAAAGAGACTTTTAATAATAACTTGAAAATACAGTTTTTGATTGCAATCAGTCATCATAACCATAATGAAAGCACTATACACTGATACGTCTTTCTTAATAAGACTTTTCATAATAATGTTAAAACACAGTTCTGTTATAAATTAACGAGATCATAAAAACTAAAAGAAAGCACTATACACTGGAGTTAAACCAGAAGTTTGTTCTGACACAAGACTTGTAAGCAACGGCTCGGATGTACTCATTTACCCTGGATAACCTATATGTGTGGTCATAAAAAAATACAGACTTATTTCCTCTATATACAAATAAGGAGATGTGGTATGATTGCCAATGAGACAACTATCCACCAAAGTTCAAATGAAGTGTTAGAAAGCCATCATAGACAACCATACAGCCTTCAAAAACACATAATGTATAGTCGGCTATAAACGGCCCCAACATGAAAAATATGAAACAATCCAATTCTGAGAAAACTAACGGAAACTAACTCAAAATTGACAATGTCCATCTTGACACCTAAAACATGTGAACACTATATAATTTCAAACCTAAGTGGCTCTCAGTTTTAAATAAAAAAAATGAGTATGAACTTACTTAGTTACCCAGGGGGAATACTTAAAAAAAATCTTATTCACAATGTAGCAATGAATATTTTAAACTTTTCCGTTATATGTTACCTGTAAAATGGCGCAAATGTAGTTTTTATTTTTTGATGCAAATGAAATATAACCTTGTGGCGCAAATGAAAGATTGGATTTTGTAAAAATTGGCGCAAATGCAATGCGCCCCCATTTTTAGTGTGCGACAATATTAACCAAAAGGTAGAAAAAAGTTTCCTGTTTGCCAACTTTTGGAAATCCCCATGGGGGTTTTAGTGCATCTTAACTTTTTTAAGGGTTAGAATTTTCACTGTTTTTTGCATGCACTGAATTTTACTCTAGAATAATTGTCATATCTCTCCTTATTTCTTATTGTATACTGATGATTAGCTCATAAGCTTTTTTCTTGCTTTTATTTTTTCCATAATTTTTGTACTTATTTTACTGTGTAAAAAAAATAGTACATGTAGCTAGAATATAAAAGCAAAGCTCTATTCTACCTTCATTTGGGGAAATCAAAATGTTTATAGCCTTCCATGTTAAGAAAATGGGAAGAATAATATGACCTGACATTGACAAGATTTCCATCCTGTCAGAAATCAAATTATTGGTTGTTATCTGAAAACTTGACATCAACACATTGTTTTATTTATATCAACTTTTTTTTAGATATAAAGTTATGTTTTATTTTATCAGACTAGAAAAAAATAGTGAATGCCATTAGTATTCACATTTTGTTTGATAATAACACATACATAATATACAAAGTGTAATTTGTAATTTCAGATTTTGAAAGGGTTGTCACTAGAAGTTAAAAAAGGTCAAACTGTTGCATTGGTGGGATCCAGTGGATGTGGGAAGAGCACAGGAATTCAATTGTTACAGAGATTTTACAATCCAGAACAAGGGGAGGTAAACACTTGACATCTCAAACGTGAATTCTGTTATAAAACATCCAGTCATTAATAATAGTTTGAAATTCTGTGAAAAATTCATATCAAAATGTGAAAAATAAAGTCATCAACAGTTTCTCACGTCTGAAAAAGCAATATTAACTCTTGATTTATATCGACAGGGCAACGTCATCAGTATTGCGCATGCTGATTTATCCGTATTAGGGCTAATTTGCTCGTATCATTTAATAATAGTTATTATGGTGGTACAATTTAGAGAGTTCAGAATTTTAGACATAGCCTTGTAGATAGAATATGATGTATACAAATATTTATCTTACCTCCTATTTCTAGGAATATCATTGGTTAAAAGCGAACACTCTGGAAGTGTGTATATTTGATATTAGGTCAGTGGGCCTGTTTTATTTTAAACACATGGTCAGTGGGTGTGGTTTATTTTAAATACACTGTTAGAAGTAGAGTTACATTCTTTGGTGTAACTCTACTTCTAACAGTGTAATATGTTTAAAATATTTTGTAACATGTTAAAACAGCTTGTTCAGACAACAGTATTGCTCAAAATTAGTATCATTTTTCAGACTTGAACATTATTTTCAATATTTATTTACTTACAAATCTTGAGGATAATAATTTCACTTATGATTTTATGATATAACAAATATAAACAAATTTCTTCATGAATATATTTATGTTAAAAATGTTATACAATAGATCTCACATTTTTGTTTTAAGTGTACCGGTATACACTGTAATACATATCAAATGTCAGGAATTCTTAACCTTAAGCTGACTGAAGATATTAAGTAATATTGTTACAGATTTTTCTGGATAATGTGAATATCAAAGATTTAAATGTGAACTGGTTACGAAAACAGATGGGTGTAGTCAGTCAGGAACCAGTTCTCTTTGCCACAACAATTGCCGATAATATAAGATATGGTAGAATAAATGTGACACAAGCAGAGATAGAACAGGCTGCCAAGATGGCCAATGCTCATGACTTTATCAAACAGCTACCTAAGGTAAGCACTGAAGAATCTAACACACATGGGTAAATACTTCTAGTATTGAAGGGCAAGAAAGCTTTGCTGGTTGATATGATTTGAAATTATTATTTGGCAATTTTTTTTTTTAGATAAAAATGATTTTTGTCGAGCCTGCGACTTTTGTCGCAGAAAGCTTGACATAGGGATAGCGATCCGGCGGCGGCGGCGGCGTTAGCTAACTTCTTAAAAGCTTTATATTTTAGAAGATGGAAGACCTGGATGCTTCATACTTTGTATATGGATGCCTCATGTAACGAAGTTTCCGTCAGTCACATGTCCAATGTCCTTGACCTCATTTTCATGGTTCAGTGACTACTTGAAAAAAAAGTTCAGATTTTTTGTAATGTTAAATTCTCTCTTATTATAAGTAATAGGATTACTATATTTGGTATGTGCGTACCTTGCAAGGTCCTCATGCCCGTCAGACAGTTTTCACTTGACCTCGACCTCATTTCATGGATCAGTGAACAAGGTTAAGTTTTCGTGGTCAAGTCCATATCTCAGATACTATAAGCAATAGGTCTAGTATATTCGGTGTATGGAAGGACTGTAAGGTGTACATGTCCAACTGGCAGGTGTCATCTGACCTTGACCTCATTTTTATGGTTCAGTGGTTATAGTTAAGTTTTTGTGTTTTGGTCTGTTTTTCTTATACTGTATGCAATAGGTCTACTATATTTGGTGTATGGAATGATTGTAAGGTGTACATGTCTAGCTGGCAGGTGTCATCTGACCTTGACCTCATTTTCATGGTTCAGTGGTCAAAGTTAAGTTTTTGAGTTTTGGTCTTTTTTTCTAATACTGCATGCAATAGGTCAGCTATATTTGGTGTATGGAATGATTGTAAGGTGTACATGTCTAGCTGGCAGGTGTCATCTTACCTTGACCTCATTTTCATGGTTCAGTGGTCAAAGTTAAGTTTTTGAGTTTTGGTCTTTTTTTCTAATACTATATGCAATAGTTCAACTATATTTGGTGTATGGAAATATTTTATGATCTATATGTCAGTCACGCAGGTTTTATTTGACCTTGACCTCATTTTCAAGGTTCATTGCTCAGTGTTAAGTTTTTGTGTTTTCGTCTGTTTTTCTTAAACTATAAGCAATAGGTCAACTATATTTGTTGTATGGAAGAATTGTTAGCTGTACATGCCTGCCAAGCATGGTTCATCTGAACTTGACCTCATTTTCATGGTTCATTGGTCAATGTTTAGTTTACTTGGTTAATGTTAAGTTTATGTGACAGTTGTAATAAAGCTTTATATTTAGGACTATCAACATAATATCAATGATTAGTAAAGAAGGCGAGACATTTCAGCGTGTGCACTCTTGTATTACACTATCAATAGTCATTTTCAATTCATGCATATTTACATTGCTTTGGTTCATAACGATTGTCTTATGATTTTTATGAGCTTGATAAACTTGGGTTGGTTTGACCAAACTTGCTATTGTTTTATATATGCATGATAATATAATTTGTATTGCTTTATTTTCTATAAGGCCGCTGTATTTTTTGGTTGTAATCAACCCTTGATGGAGGATGTAAGAAGGTCAATGCATTGATTTACTGTTATTCATTTATGATATACCAGGAAGGAATTGGATGGAGGAATGGGTATTTCATAGCACTTAAATATTATTTAGATATTATATGCTATGCACTGGCTCTCAAAATGAGTTATTTATGATAGTTATGATAACAGCCAATATTAAAAAAGATTTTAAAAAAAGTATGACATTTATTTGCTTGCTTATAAGAGTGTAAAGGGGTTTTGAAGAAAATTTACATAGTTTTTCTAAACTTAATAAAATAATTTGCTAAATGGCATTATAATTGTTGCAATAAATTAGTTACAAGAAATGATATATTTTAAGCGACGCTTTTCTTTGTCAGTATCACTTTTGTCTATTTTCAGGGGTATGAAACCTTAGTGGGAGATCGAGGTGCCCAGTTAAGTGGTGGTCAGAAACAGAGGATAGCCATAGCAAGGGCGTTAGTACGAAATCCTAAAATCCTTCTCCTGGATGAAGCTACATCAGCTCTAGACAATGAGAGTGAAGGGATTGTACAAAAAGCATTAGAAAAGGTTATAGCATAATAACATGATTTCTAAAATTGTAAGGTCCTAAGATTTCATTGTCATTTTACAAAATAATAGGAATGTTTGCCAGAGAATGTCTGATTTTGCCAAGTAATGTATTCTTGCTGGTGTTTTTTTTTTCTGCTACTCCAAAGAATTTAAATTGTTCAAGTATCACATGAAAAGGTGTGTGTAAGCTGTCTCACCTGGCAGGAGGTTGGGTTAGACAGGAATATCTTAAGTCAATAGCAATAGTTGGGTAGCTAACCAACAACAGGGGTAGACATTTGTTACATGTTAATAATGCTAACCTGCAAGATAAGTATTATATAGAAGTTTTTTTATGGATAAACATGTATAAGTAATGTTTGTATACTGTCTGGAAAACCTATATCATTTTTTTATATTTTGAAGGCTCAGGAAGGCAGGACCACCATTGTGATTGCCCATCGACTGTCCACTATAAGGAATGCTGATGTGATTTATGCAATAGACAAAGGAGTTATAAAGGAGAGTGGAACCCATGAGGAATTGATGGAGAAAAAAGGATTGTATCATCAGCTTGTTATGTTACAGGTAACTTATTTTTAAGTTTATGTCTCTTAGCAGGTTATTGATGATAGTTTTACAAAATATTGGCACTCAAAATTTTGTTGCAAATTCAAATCAGTGATGACCAAAAAATTAACTGTTGGTAAACAAAGGTTCATGTTTCTTTCAACTTAATTTGCTCCATGCAATATCATTATGGTCAATATTGTGGGATAAAGAGACATTAAAAGAGAAACACATAATCTATTAGTCTAAGATAGTTATCTTTCAAAGGAGAAGGTATAATAAGGCCACTTTTTTGTTCCCTTGAATTTAAAAATAAAAAAAAGTATACAAAATAACATTCTTCAGATGTTTATAAGACATTAGTCTTTCAGACATCAGTACATACATTTATGAATTTTGTCTTACATATTTGCATTAGGGCTCCAAAGTCCAAACTTCTTGAATTTACTGCAGAACTGCAACAACTGCTAAAATAGCCTCATTTTGAGTTTGTTTTATTAATGTTTTGATTTGAGCCAAGATTTTCCCAAAAGGATAATTTGCTACAAGATATACTTTACATAGATGTTAATGTATGTAAAATAAATGCATTTAGTATTTCTGTTTAGAAGTGTTTATATATAAGTAATTTTGAACTCATGTTTGATTCAATTTTTTTACAGGCCAAGCACCTTGACGAATCAGAGGAAGGTATGAGATATGAATTATATTTAATTTTATAAGTTTACATTTTAAAATCTGCTCACTTGTATGTGTCACTTTTATATGAATTCAGTCATGTTTCAAACATAAATTGTTTTCATACTGAAAGTCAATTTATAATTATTTTTATTCTAATTCAAAATATGATAAGCATAAAGCCCATTTTAACATTTTGTGGTTTAATTTCATGTTGAAGTTAGGCTTTGATGTTAAGTTCCAGTTTAAATGTCCATAGCATTGCTAGAAATAGACATATTACTGTAACTTGACTAGGAGTGTTGGTGGACTGCTTTTGCAGTCAGATAAAAACTTTAACCAACCAAAGTTCATAAATCTAATCAGGCTGATCAATTGGTAAGATAATTGCGAGATCAAAACTCTGGTAATTGTTAGCAGTGCATGTGCAATAGGAAAGTTTACTTACAAATTTCTTGCTTCTGTCTATGACTGCAATACATGGCTTAGTTTATAGTTCAGTATACAAATGTAAGTTGTTATTATAAATAGGGTCATAAATGGATTTTTAAATTGTCATTTATAGTTGAAATAAATTTATTGTCTGAAATTTAATTTGAATGATAACACAGTTCAATTACTGGTAAATCAAACTGAGGAATTAATTAGAAATAACAATACAATCTTAAGAGCAATAATATGATATGGATCTCCCTCCTTATAGGACTATTATTAGAATACTGCTGACAATTCACAGCCAAATTAAATTAAAAATTTCACAGATAACCTTTATGTAAGTACCTTTTATATTACACTTGCACATTTAAAATTGCTCATTTGCTGCAGTCTTCCTATAACAGTTGGATAAAATATTTTGAAACCAGATCAGTTTAATAGAAGCATACAAAACAGTAGGTTCACATTAAAAATGTATCAGCCTTTTGATAAATTATTAAACATAACATATATTAACTTTTTTGATAACAGAATTTGTTGGACTGGAGAAAAAGTATCTAAGTAATAATGAATTACATTCATTATCACTTGGTGCATCCTTAATTGGTGGTAAGTTACAACAGTAAGATTTGTCTCCTATTTTTTGCTTTAAATGAATGTCTTTAGAAGTCCTAGCATGTAACTATATATTTTTTTTATTGTATTAGGTGTCAGATTATTTTTGACTTAATTTCTATTTGATAAAAAATGAAATACTGTATTTTCAACTTTTTTTAAATGATGGCTTTTGATATTTTCGAAAATTTGTAGGCACTGTATCCAAGTGTAAAATTAAAAAACACATTGCTGTTTCTACTTGCCTGTTAAGCATTATTTGTAGATTAATTAATATATTGGATAGTGCACATGTTTTTAAAATGACTATAAGCTACTCAAGCCATTTTAAGAAAACTGGAATTACTACAAAACATCTTCTTAATAAAACACAGAAGGGCAGATCAGTTGCATGAAATGTATTTTTGATTTGTTTAATACTGAGAGTATGTTGGAATGAAATATTAGTATGTTGTCTGAGGTTATTGATACGTGTTTGCATGATTAAATGTTTGTCACTTAGCTTATTATTGTCACAAAATGTAGCACTAGATAAATTTACATGAGATATTGTTTGGAACACTAATATTTCCCTTAGAGAGAATGATATCATTTATTATTTTTATACCATATCTATAATGAAATTTAATTAATTTTCACAAAGCTATTGAATTTACTAGAAATTTTCTGTAATTTTGAGGTTATTTTTATGTAATGCAGCTGATACTATCATAACAGTTTGTACATAAGAAAAAGTCTTTTAATGACAAATGCTGACCAGTTTAATTTTATCTAATACTTTTAGTTTTTGTGTCTTATTATGGCCGGTAAAAGGATGCATGATGGTTAGGTTATATGCATTTATGGGAAAAAATTTGAATGTTTCATCAATGACCTTGAAATGTCAGATGAAAAGAAATATGTATGTATTGCATTTTAAGCTTACTTTGCTCAAAGACCAAATAAGGACTCTTTTTATCACCTTTCATTCGTAGTTGTTAATTTTCATAAAATCAAACTTTGTCTGAATAATCTTCAGGGCATACCTAATTACAAGTTAACAAACCAATTTTGATCATTGTTGAAGGCAGTACGGTGACCTATAGTTGCTTACATTTGGTCTCTGATGGTTGCTATCTCATTGACAATCATACCACAACTTTTTATTTTTATATGGCCTTTGTTACTGTAAACATTAAAAATCAGGAACTGTGGTACTATTGCTAATAAGACAACTATCCATCAAGGACAAAAGTATAAGGATGTAAACAACTACAGGTCACAGTATGGCCTTCAATAATGAGCAAATTTCATATGGTATTGCAAGCTCAAAATGTCCAAGGGATATCAAATGTGAAAAAATTCATAAGAGAAAACAAGCAGTCTGAATTAAGCAAAATTTAAACACTGCTGTAACAACATAACACTAGATAACAAACTTTGAAAAAAATCCATATAAGAAAAACAAATTATTTTTTTATGTACAGTTGTGAAATAAGTTTTGACGATCTAAGATTCCATATGCCACTTTTTGTGTTTCCCTGCTTGGACATAAACATTTCATAGGGATAAAAATCTTATTCTCCATTGTCCACCATTTCTGATGATGTTAACATTTGATGTTACTGTATGATGAGTTTTTTTTCAGGTCTAATTTGAATTTTGTTTAGGTTGACCATTTTTTTTTTGCATCATTCACACTCAGAAATTTCTCAAAATATAATAAACTTCTTCATTTTTTATATTTTTTAGAACCTCTGTTTCTTGTAAAATATTCATTGGAAATATCTTTGTAAAGCTAATGTTTCCATTCTTAATTACATTCTTTCATTATTAATGCATACATAGTATCTTATGAAACCACTTTTCTTTTGCTGTAATTCTGTTACTTTTGTTGTTGAAACTCTGCAATATTCAGATCCTTATCATTTATTAACACAGATAAGTTGAAATGTTGATTATTTTCACAGTTGTTGAAGGGTTAGAACATGAATTCTTTGCAAATGAAGAGGATATTGGGGAAAAAGATTCATTGATACGCCCAAGGACATTCAGCACATCATCGTTAAGGAAACACAAGCCTCAGCATCAAGTTTCTGTTATCAGCACTCATAGCGATAAAGAAGATGAAAAGGTATTATAAAAAGTTTTATTATTATGTTGTATTGTCTGTAAAAACATTCATATTTGTATGATAAACTTGGTGCTGGTGGACAAACAAATATAAAAAGAAAGTTTGTGTTTCGTGTTTATATAAAAGAAATTGTAAAGTTTGGAAAAAATCTGACCTGACTCATTCCTGGTGTTCATGGGCCCTTAAATGTAAAATGCTTCAAGTGTGGGAGGTTATTGGTTTGTTCTTTATTTGGGGTGGTAAAGGGTGGGTCTGAACATGTAAACATGTGAATTAAAATTGCAAAAACGTTGCACGGAAAATAAATATCGGGAAAAATGAAGCACAAGAAATTAAATTGTAAATATTAAGGAAAAAAGTACTAGAAGTTCTCAGCTGTTCTTGGAGATCATGCAGTCATTATTAATGGACATGAAGACCCTGTGGTCACCTTTTAGTGTCCGCTAGTTGCATCTGATTTGAAAAAATATTATTCATAGTAATTTGATGGACTTTATTACATACCATACATAAACAATAGAATTGCAAGAGAGCAATTAATTTCCTGGGAACCAGTTCATTAATACATAATTTAAAACAATATCCAGGCTGACTTTGAATTAGTCCCGGTTTACTTTTTAATCAAATGCGGGACAAGCACCAGAAATTAAGAGTACCAAAGAAAGACGAAAAAAATAAGGGGAAACAAGAGGCACACATAATGAACCAAACACGAGAAAACAAGAAATAAAACTTCAAAACACGAAAACATGTGAAATAAAAAGGCTGAAAACTTTGTAAGAAAATAACCCTTTACAACCTTCTTTATTGATGGTCATATATACAACTTTAAAATGTTATCAGTTGCTTAGACTGGGATGGCTTGGACTTAGATTTTGTTTAGTTTGGTATAGATATATCCTTCTGCAGATAGTTTCTTTGTGAGTTTGTACTTTAAATTCCAGCTTGATGTGTTAATTTAGTACAAAATAGAGTATATTTAGTCCTGAGAAATTATTCAAATACTTGCTACCCACCAATCAAAGAATTTTATCCTCACGCTTTTGTCTCACCTTGACAGAGTCAAAAAGCAAGACATAGGTATGCTGTTTCCGCCGGCGGCGTCGTCGTCAACAATGTATTAGTTTGTGATTAGGTCTAGTTTATGGTGAATTACAAGTGGTAGGTCAATCATATTTGGTATGCAGTTGTATTAGCATTGGCACATCTCATTTTCATGGAGATTATTTGGCCCTGCCTCCTCAGTCATGGTCTATTGATTTGGAAACTTTTGCTTATTTTATATGTATTAGTTTGTGATTAGGTCAGTTTATGGGGAACCACTAGTGGTAGGTCAATGATAATTGGTATGCAGTTGTATAAGCATTGGCATATCTCATTTTCATGGAGATTATTTGGCTCCGCCCCCTCAGTCATGGTCTGTTGACTTAGAAACTTTTGCTTAGTTTACATGCATTAGTTTGTGATTAGATCAGTTCAAGGGGAACCATTTAGGGTAGGCAAATGTTAATTGGTATTCAGTTGTATAAGCATTAGCACATCTTATTACCATGGAGAATATTTGGCCCCGCCCCCTCAGTCGTGGTCTATCGACTTAGAAACTTTTGCTTAGTTTACATGCATTAGTTTGTGATTAGATCAGTTTAAGATGAACTGCTAATGTTAAGTCAATGATATTTGGTATGCAAATTTATTGGCATTTGCAAGTATCGTTTCCATGGAGATTATATAGCTCCACCCTCTCTTCATGGTTCATTGACTTTGAAACTTTTACATAGTTTACAAGTTAATGTTTGTGTTTAGGTTTGTTTAAAGGGAATGACTTATAATAAGTCAATGGTATTTGGTATGCAGTTGTATTAGCTTTGGCACATCTCATTTACATGGAGATTGTTTAGCCATGTACCTTAGTCATGGTTCATTGACTTTGAATATTTGCATGACTTATGAAACATGTTGAAGTATTGCTATTTTAATTTCAACATTTGCATAATCAAAATTACAAAAGGGCAAGACATATCTCTGTGATAACAGTTTATTATGATCTACATGTTATATTGTTTACAACCCAAATGGTTGACTGGGGTATAGAAATATGGACTTTGCTTGGACATCCAAATAAGCAATATGCAAATGTTTCAAAACTTTATTTACAAATCTATATTTACAAATCTATATTCGTTTCAAAGATATGGATATTTGAAAATACTTAGCAAAAATGGAGAAATCCTAACTTAGGAAGATATAAACCATTCATTTATCTGTACCATGTTGTCTCATTAGGTATCTTCATAGAAGGTATGATAGTGCCACTTTTTGACTCATTGAATTCTAATATTAAAAAACATTATCTATCAAAAGATGTCATTCAGATGTTAAAAACATTTACCAATAGTCTGGCAGATATCAGTATTTATAGTTTTGAATTTTGTCTCACATATTTGCATTAATGCTTTAAAGATCTTTAAACTTCTTGAATTTAGTGCAAATCTGCAAAAATTGTCAAAATAGCCTAATTTGGAGATTTTATCATAATATTTAAAAATGAGCCAAGCCGTTACAAAAACAAAAAAACACACATAGAGCAAAGGAACAGCGCTTTTATTGCTGTTCTTCATCTCAAAGTCACAGTGACATCATAGTGACAGTCTGCATTCTGCAATAAAGTGTCCTTGTTATACTAACCTTTTCATTTATCTTGTTATACTTACCTTTTCATTTATCTTGTTATACTTACCTTTTCATTTATCTTGTTATACTTACCTTTTCATTTATCAATAAAATTAGCATAATTTTGAAAGTCTTGAATAATTTTAACATTTCAGAAAGTTCAGGGGCTGAATAATGACTCTTATCATGCATCCTCCTTTGTGTAAAATTTCTAAAATATAGTAAGTGTGTATAAATGTGTACAAAGAGAAGATTTACTACTGTCTTACCACTCTACTATCTGAAACATTTCAATTATCTATGACCTAAATCCTATGCTTGAGTGACTTGATTCATGCATGGTTAGGCTTTTCAATAATAGCTTTTTGACAGATGTTTCTATTGAGTGCATACCAGGTAGTGTCCATGTCTTATAAAACTTATTCATGCATTGTTTTCTTGGCATCCTTTGAAAAATCCTGCCTGCATTGTAAATTTTTATTACAGATAGATGAATCTGAAGATATACCAAACGTTCCCATGAAGAAGATTTTAAAGATGAATGGACCAGAATGGCATTTAATTGTGATAGGAATTATTGTATCTATCCTGGCTGGGGGCTTTCAGCCAATGTTTGCCATTATTCTGTCTGAATTTTTAAAGGTTTGTTGAAATAATATTTATGATACTTGTATATTAAAAAATGTACATTTCTGCACTACCAAAGCAGAATCATGTATTTTTATTGAAATAATATCATACTGTTAAACTAGGTATTTTTTTCTGTTGCTCTTTCCAAGTGCATCTTTATTGATAAAACTAAAATTCAAGCAATCTTATTTACACTTTTTATGTTTAAACCCTAGTTACATTAGAATATTAAAGTGTTTATTTTCAGGAATCCTAAATAGTGTAACCATGATGTAAGATAAAATATCTGATATTTTTTAGGTGTTTACAATTCAAGATGATGATGAAGCTAAATCTACATCTGCAACTTTAGTTGGAATAATAATGGCTGTAGCTGTTGGTTCAGCTACCTGTAAACTTATTGTTGTAAGTAATTGTATCATGTAATATTTATTTGCTAAATTGACTTGTTCTCAGTTGAATTATTTACTTAGGATATTCAATACTTTATTATTAAAAATATTTGGGATGGACTTTGTGTTACTTGATCCTGTTACTGAAAATTCAGAAATTATTGTGTGCATTTTATTTTTTTTTTATTTTCATTTTTTGTTGAGCCTGCGACTTTTGTCGCAGAAAGCTTGACATAGGGATAGTGATCCGGCGGCGACGGCGGCTTAAGCTAACATCTTAAAAGCTTTATATTTTAGAAGGTGGAAGATCTGGATGCCTCATGGTACGAAGTTACAGTCAGTCTCATGTCCAATGTCCTTGACCTCATTTTCATGGTTCAGTGGTTATAGTTAAGTTTTTGTGTTTTGGTCTGTTTTTCTTATACTGTATACAATAGGTCTACTATATTTGGTGTATGGAATGATTGTAAGGTGTACATGTCTAGCTGGCAGGTGTCATCTGACCTTGACCACATTTTCATGGTTCAGTGGTCAAAGTTAAGTTTTTGAGTTTTGGTCTTTTTTTCTAATACTATATGCAATAGTTCAACTGTATTTGGTGTATGGAAATATTTTATGATCTATATGTCAGTCACACAGGTTTTATTTGACCTTGATCTCATTTTCAAGGTTCATTGCTCAGTGTTAAGTTTTTGTGTTTTGGTCTGTTTTTCTTAAACTATAAGCAATAGGTCAACTATATTTGTTGTATGGAAGAATTGTTAGCTGTACATGCCTGCCTAGCATGGTTCATCTGACCTTGATCTCATTTTCATGGTTCATTCGTCAATGTTTAGTTTACTTGGTTAATGTTAAGTTTATGTGACAGTTGTAATAAAGCTTTATATTTAGGACTATCAACATAATATCAATGATTAGTAAAGAAGGCTAGACATTTCAGCATGTGCACTCTTGTCATATCCATATTTTAAAGAGAAAAGGAATTAAGTTTTTTTTTTTAAAGTTATTAACATTTAGATACAGTTTGGGGTTAAAAAATGAAAAATCTATTACTTTGTCAAAGCTTAATAAAATGTTAAGAAATTTTGGCAGAAGCTTTTTTATGATTAAAAGATAAAGTCTGAAGCAAAATTTTGAAAATAGAATTCACATTTTTCAGTATTTTACTGATAGATAGTTATTTACAGTTAACATTTACCGGTTAAAAAAAATTACATGATAAATTTGTAAACTTTCATAGATTGATATGAAACTTGGACAGAAGCTAATATTCAAGATCAAGAAATAGTATCTGATTCACTTTTTATGGTCAACTTTTCACTGACAGCAGCAATTGCAGGCAAGACACCGGGTGCCACGGAACCCACTATTAATTTATTGTATAGCAAAACTTGAAAAGCTGTTTCAAACATATTTTGTCACTGGTGATGTTGGTAATGCAAAGCTTTATTTGCATTAGTTCATGCTAACTGCATTTGCAAATTAATTCAAAGAAAGTTTAAGCCTATGAGAGAAGAAAAGTTGACAAAATTGCTTCGTCATATGTGAAGTTTGTGCAGATCAAAAGATTTGTTATGGCTGCTGTTCTTTGAAGCCAGGACAGGGGGAGATAACTGTTTTAATAATATAGTTTTTTTTTTGTAGAGTTTGACATTCTGTATAGCTGGTGGAAACTTGACAACAAGATTAAGGAAGTTGGCTTTTAAGTCAATTGTTTGGCAGGTATGTTAATGAAATATATACTTGCAACAAAATACATTTTGTATATGAATATTTGATAGACACATAAAAATCATAAAAAACCATGACAGATAATTGAATATACTGGTTTCAAATCTAATATATCTTCTTGCACCCTAATAGAATTACAGAAACATGTCAAAGAGTTGTAATATAAAGAAACTATTTGGATAATAGTTATCTTCCATCCGTAGTTCAGAAATAGTTAGATGAGAATTCACATTTTCCATTACTGATATCATTTACTTTCAACCCCTGCATGTTGTCTGTCTATCTGTGCATCCATCCTAAACACCTCAATCTTCAGAAACATTTTGACATAAAGTTTTCATACTTGGTATTATTTGTCGTCATATTCTCATCACCCCCTGCTATATTATCAGCTTGTTTTGACAGTTTTTGCAGGAGTTATGGGACTTTGAAATTTTTTTTTAGTACTGTAACAATGACATCTTGTAAACACAACTCTTCTTAGTCTGTTTCACAGAAAACTCTCTTTCTTGGATTGTTTGCCATAAGGTGTAGTTTACCAGATTGTAGTGCCATTTTGATTTGATCATTTTTCACAGGAGTTATGGGACTTTGACTTTTGTTTTAAGTATTGTGACAACAACACCTTTTGAAGGGCAATGCAATTCCACAATGACACATTATGACACACAATTCAATTCCTCATTTATACAGTGTGATGGATATATCACTATAGTATAACACAAGGATCTGGAATTTTTTTCACACAATTTCGGTCATCAGAGATGACTTAAAAGTTTGGGCACTTTTTTCAAATTGTTGTAATCACACTAGATTCCTAGCATCAATGAACTTGTATTGACTGTTTCATCGCATTTACTTCATGAATTTTCTTACTGTGTGTCTAAAAACTTTCAAGAACAGTTTATGGAATGCAACTGTTTAAAATTGAAATGATTTTAATGACTCAAAATGGTAAATTTCTCAGGCATTGCTAACGTTTCTTTTGATTTTGAAGACGAAATTAAAACCAGAAGTTTTACGACAATACTTAAGTATGAATAATTCCAGGTTCATTTCCAGGATTCGCTCTGTTTATCAAATTGACAGTAAATCACGGGATTTTTACCTTTACCTTTAAAGGTGTTGGAATATAACAGATAATAGTTGCACTCGTTTAATTTAGCCAAGGATTTGTAAATCCTTGGTTTAGCATGAATTCATTTTGCATTTTACGATTAAGTGTCTTATCTGGTGAAGGCAATTTCACGCATGTGTATTACATAGTAAATAAAGCACATGTTTAACTCGTGAAAAATTACTTTTTCTACGTAAGTTGAATTAAGTTTTAATTTTAAATAAAAATTGATGATTGTATTTGCTGAAAAGTAATTAGATAATGAAGAAAGTTTTAAATTCTTTATAATATTAGGTGTCAGGGGTGTTTCTAGGATATTTGAAAGAGGGGTTGTCTATTTAAATCTTTTGCTGAGTGGAGCGAGGCAAAACATTTTTTGGACCTTTTTTTTGCTAAAAAACATAAAATAATTGTGAAATGCACTAATGTAACAATATTAGCAGATGACGATAGTTTGTTTTTTTTGGGGAAAAGGGTGGGGCGTACGCCCAATACGCCCTCACCTGGACCTGCCCCTGGGTCTGAGCTTGTAATCATCTCGAGTGTGAATTAAAAACACAGGTAAAAAGTGATTAGCGATCATTAGCCAATATTTCCCAGAGGCTTTAATATAGTTATTAGGAGGGCCCTCAGGATTATTATACTATAGTGGAGTGGCAGTTTTATTACAGGAAAGGGATAACAAAACTAAAACAAGTGCAAAATATTGATTTACATGTAGAAACCCAATCTGAATGAAATGACAGAAATTCTTTCTGTAAATAAAATAAATTTGTCCTAAATTCAAATCAGCCATTTAGGACAAATAGCTTTCAGTTTAGGTCATGACTGGCAAATATGACTGTTTCCAGACCCTTGGACTATAGCATAACCTTGTTGTAAATAGAATTGATATGCAGTGGTTTGACAAACATGAAGCAAGAGACAAAGAATGGCTACATTTTGGTTGAATAATCTCTTGAAACAGAGCTTTTATGGTATCTTAGATAAGAGTTCAAGTGAAGAAAAGCAAACAAAATAGTAACCCCTTTTTATTTTAAATCAGATTTGAATGATTTTTTTTCATGAATGATATCCTCAGAAATTATTTGTTAATATTAAGATTTTCCCTTTTAATACTATTTTGATCTTTTTTGTCTCATCTGTAACAAATGTTGTAACAATTAATTTGATCCCCCCTGTAAAATGATCCGGGGGATAAAATGTCTTGGAATATTTTATCCTCTAAGATAGAAAATTGCAACAAATTATATCCCCAACACTAAAAAAATATCTACAATGATGGATATTATTTTAGTGTTGTGGGATATAAAATGTTGCAATTTTCTATCCTAGAGGATAAAATATTCAAAGACATGTTATCTCCCGGATCATTTTACGAAAAAATTAAAAACAGTCCTTAGTAGGAAATTTTAGGAATATCTGGTTAAGAATAACCCAGTTAATGCTTGGAAAATTCTGTCCTCGAAATAAAACAATATTCTCTATAAATTATATTATTTTTTGAATAATTGTTCAACAATAACACAAATACAAAAGAAATATATATTACATTCACAAATTTATGTTACAAACAACATATTTTCAATGCATTTTTCTATTTCATCTGTTAATGTGCAAAATATTCAAAAATACTAGATTGACGTTTCTTATCTCTACACTTTCTTTTTGGACGTTTATTTTGGGTTTCATCTTCTTGATCATTTTGCTCTTGAATATACTGTTCAATGATTTCAATTTCATCCTCTTTATCAATTTCTTTAAAAGTGGACTGTGTTAGGAACAAGGATCCATCGAGAACATCACAGTTATTATTGTTCATATCCGAATTCTGATCTTGGTTTTCATTATTGTTTGATTCATAACTTTTATCTAAATCATGATGATCAACAATAGGTTGTGTTTTATTGGGTTCAAAATGTATTTCAGCTGATACTGTCTGAGTATTGTCATTGGGAGAATAATATTTCTTAATGTTCATCTGTTTGAATGTGCCTATAACATCATCACTTGATACACATTTAATCCTGTATGTGCCCTTTTTTAAAAACTTTATCAATTTTGTATGGCCCCAACCAATTTTGTTTTTCCATTCCTTTCTTTCTCTTCTTATTTTTCACCAGTACATTATCATTTTCTTTAAACTCATTTTCATGAATATTATGTCTATTGTCAAAATGCAACTTCTGTCTTTTTTGTGCTTGATCGATATTTTCCATGACTTTCTCCGAAATCAACTTCTGAATTTCATGTAATTTTATAGCACAATCTTCAATTTGACCTTGGTTTAATTCTTCATATGACTGAAAAGTGTTAACAGTATTACCTATAGATTGTTCATTTGGTAATATCGGATTTCGCCAATACATTGAATAGGAAGGTGAGAAATTAGTAGATGAATGTTTAGAAGTGTTGTAAGAAAACAAACATTTTGGCAGAAAACGTTCCCAAAGATTAGTTTCCTCTTTTACGGTTTTGTTCAACATGTTTTTAAGAGTCTGATTATACCTTTCACATTTGCCATTTGCCTGTGGATTATAAGGGGTTATTTTAATATGTTTGTATCCATACATGTCATATATCACACCAGATAACTTGGAAATAAATTCACCACCATTATCGCTAATCATTTCCAGTGGTACTCCATGGCGACAAAATAAAGTAAACAAGTTTTCAGCTATTTCACTTGAGTTTTTGGTATAGAGAGGAAATGCTTCTGTATAATTTGAAAGAAAAGTCTATGACGGTTAATACAGATTTGTATCCTGCATCGAAAAGAGGTTTTCCAGTTTTGTCATTATATGGGCCGATTAAGTCAATGGCAATTTTTTTCCATGTTGAGGGAGGAACGGGTATTGGTGACATTTCTGGTTTTGTTGTTTTCTGTTTTTTATTACTTGTTTGACACTGTTCACAAGTTTTTATGAAGCTTTTCACATCTTTTATTATACCTTTCCAGTAATAACGTTGTTGTATTTTCACCACAGTTTTGTCGACTCCAAGGTGGGACCCACTATTTATGTGACATTCTGATATAATTCGAAATTTTTCGTCTGATGGGATTACCAATCTCAAATTTTGATCATCTGCTGCTACACATTTGCCTGAAAATAATATGAAAGATTATTTTAACTTTTGTATAAATATAAATTTATTTAATTTTTTTAATAAAAATTAACATATGATAAGTATTAAAAGAGAGACAACTGTAATCTAATAACTGAAAACAAAATCAAACGCACCTTTTTGTTCTGAACATACATGTTATCCCCGAAGAAAATTGTCCTTTAATTAGTGAATACTATTTATGATAAGATTTATTCCAGTTAGGATAAAATATCACTGACATTTTATCTCTGTATACTACATGTATTATAACCTGTGGATATTATTTATGGGATAGTTCTATTTTATCTACATCTTCTGATCCATGATCGATATTTGAATATTTTTGGGTTTAAAATCTCTTTTATTTAATTCAAAACATAATTCAAAACAAACACTGTTAATTATTGATGATTATACAAATATAAATATAAAACTTACCTTCATTAATTCTGTAGTACAGCTTATTTTCTTTAATTATGAAGCTTTGGGCACGTTTTCGTAATGCTCGTTTCTCATTTAAAGAGCTGTTTTCGGAGTATTCTTTATTCAGCAGATATTTGTACAAAACGTTATACTCCTCTCCATCCATCTTAACATAAATGATTATCTATTATCATTTTACTTGTTCCTTTAAAGCAATGTGCCATTTGTTAAAACACTTCATTGATCAAGATGCAGTAGGATAGTATTTACATGATATTGTATCCCATCGGATATAATTTTACTGAAATATTATCCCAAATGGATATAATTTTGTAGAAATATTATCCCTAGAAATAATAAATTTCTTGGTAATATTATCCCATGGGAAATTATTTTACTACTCACTTTTATCCTTAGGATATTATATCTACATTGATTTTATCCTTCGTAGCGGATAAAATTTTTTAGAGTGGGACAACTTTTAAAGGTAAAAAATATCCATTATTGACTTATATTTCATCTGTAGGGATAGTTTTTACTTAATATATTGTCCCTTGGGAACTTATATTCTAAGGATAATATTTAAGTTTACAATGTCACAGGTCTGAAACATAAGTATGCTAATGTGTGGCAAATGACGTAAACTATTTGAGTAGAGCTTTATATTTCAAAAGGTAGAAGTAGACAACCCATATTTTATATACAGATGCCTTATGGTCAGACTTTTTTACATCTATGAATAAAATAACTGCATAAAAATATCAAAAACTCAAGTACAAACAAAGTACTGTAAATTCAGAAATTATTGCGTGCATTTATTATTGCGATTTTGTCATTTTAGACTAAAATGCGATTTTAATTTTTGCGATATTGAGAAAAATCCTGTTTAATTCATATAAAAAATTTCAAAATGCGAGTTTAAATTATTGCGATTATAACCCTGTCGCATTTTTCGCAATAATAAAAACATCGCAATAATTTCTGAATTTACAGTAATGATAAACCATACTATACAGTATCAAACAATCCTCACAGTTACTTAAAGCAAGCTCAATGAACTTCAAACAAACCAATGATAAACCATACTATACAGTATCAAACAATCCTCACAGTTACTTAAAGCAAGCTCAATGAACTATAAACAAACCAATGATAAACCATACTATACAGTATCAAAGAATCATCACAGTTACTTAAAGCAAGCTCAATGAACTTCAAACAAGCCAATGATAAACCATACTATACAGTATCAAACAATCATCACAGTTACTTAAAGCAAGCTCAATGAACTTCAAACAAACCAATGATAAACCATACTAGTATACTACTCAGTATCAAACAATCCTCACAGTTACTTAAAGCAAACTCAATGAACTATAAACAAACATATTTTTAAGAATTCATGCCATCCTACACTCTAATAGCAATGACTTTACTTCATAGATTTCTTTCAGCAAAGACAGCTTTCTGTACTGGAAGACATGATCATTTGCAATGCTCTGAAGAAACTGTTTTTGTATTAACTTTCATCAGGCCTATTCCCAAATTGAAATAAAGATTACAAACAATCAGCCCTATTTTTATGGTTTACACACTTAAATATGAACTTATCAACTTATTCTTTCAGGATGTAGAATACTTTGATGACCACAGAAATACTGTTGGTTCCTTAATAACTAAACTTTCATCTGATGCCACACTTGTACAAGGGGTGAGTTTTAAGATTTTAGATTAATTATATTCTTTTTTATACTCACCTGGCCTAAAAGGCCATGTTAGTTTTTGCAATCACTTTGCATCCATAGTCTGTCTGTCATCGTTATAGTTCCTTAGGGTTTCTAGTTTATAAATTGTATCTGGGGATTTGATCCATCAAAAACATGGCTGTTAAAAATAAAATATAGGTATAAAATGCAGTTTTTTGCTTATATCTTAAAAAAATAAAGCAGATAGAGCTAATCTCACAGGATTAAAATGATCAACCGTCCAAGATCTATCTCCTGCAAACAACCAATTTTGGAGTTATTGCCTATTAAATGTAATTTTTGGCAAATTTATCAGTTTTGGGTTATTTTCTTGAAATCTGTAACATAAAGAAATTTTAAACAATAAAAATGACAGGAACAATAAGATCAATAAGTGATTTGGCTGAAATCTTCAAATGACCACTTCTAGGAGTTATTGCCCTTGAAATGGTGATTTTTACCCTATTTGGATTATTTAAGAAAACTAGTTGAAAGAGAGAATTTTAAGACAGTAAAAATGTTCATCAAAATATGATCTACAAATAAGTAAACATGGCCAAATTGTCAATTGACCCCTCATAGGAGTTATTGCCAATGAAAGACTGATTTAACTTATTTTTAGTAGTTTTTGGAGAAACTATAATAGATAGAGAGAAATTCTAAAATGCAAGTGTTCACAAAAATCTTAATTGACCACTTATTGGAGTTAGGTAAATGAACAGAAAGTCACAGGACAAAAAGTCACTGGACATAAAATCACAAATTTGATAGGACAAAAAGTCACAGGACAAAAAGTCACAAATAGTTTGTTGACAATTGTTTGAATATATAAGAGAGAGATCTTGAAATATTTTCTTTTTATAACATATATATCATGTATATTCATTTTTAAGTTGAGATAATTGTTCATAAGCCTTGATAAATGAAAATTTATTTAATTTAAATTGTGCAAAGGATATATTTCTTGGCACCATGAAGCCATTTAAGGATCAAGCCTCTTTGACATTTTGTTTTCATAACAATTACTTGATTATTATTGATATTTATTAAATAAATTTTAATTACAAAGTTGCTTTCGATATAATAGTTTAAGAAAAAACCAAAAATATTTTTTTTTAAATTAGTGTTTTCTTGTTCAAAGCAAAATAATCTCAAAACTGAATTGTGACTTTTTGTCCTGTGACTTTTTGTCCGTGACTTTTTGTCCATGACTTTTTGTTCTATGACTTTCTGTCCTACATTCTGGAGTTATTGCCTTTAAATAATCTTCTTTTTTCCCCAGAAACCATTATAAATAGAGAAAATTTAAATCACAAAAATACTGAACTCCGAGGAAAATCCAAAATGGAAAGTCTCTAATCAAATGGTAAAATCAAAAGCACAAACACATCAAACGAATGGACAACAACTGTCATATTCCTGACTTGGTACAGGCATTTTCTTATGTAGAAAATGGTGGATTGAACCTGGTTTTATAGCGCTAAACCTCTCACTTGTATGACAGTCGCATCAAGAGAGAAATTGTAAATAGCAAGGACGTTAAACACAAAAAGATCTACAAATAAGTCAACATCATCACAATTGTCATCTGACTTCTTTAGAAGTTATTGCCCCTGAATGACCAGTTTTACCCATTTTATGATTTTTTTGCAGAAACAAAGATAGATAGGAGCAACAATATACAGCAAAAGTGTTCAGGAAAATAAGATCTACAAATAAGTCAGACATGGTTGAAATCTTCAATTTACCCCTTAGAGCAGTTATTGCCCTTGAAAGATGATTTTTTTTTCCATTTTTGCAGATTCTTGCACAGACTATAATAGATTTAGAGAAGCAGTTAAACATAATCCTAAGAACCTCCTCAGTCAGGTTATGCTGCATGTGTCTGGTATTCACTTTGTCCCTCAATACACTCTTTTTTGTACTGCAATGCAGGCTTCAATTATTTTTGCTTTCTTGTCATTGTTCTGTTCTTGGAGCATCTTCTGTTAGCTGTGACAAATTTTTATTATTTATATTCTTATTGAAAATGTTAACAGTAATTTTCCACTTGTCAACAAAAAAAACAGGATTAATATTTAGAAAAGTTGAAGAATATTCCTGGAATGATTGTCACATAGAATAACACTATTTCCAATTATCTATTGGAGGTCTTCAAATAAACTCATCTCGTCTCACTATTTTTTATATGTGCCACCTTTGATAAGTATTTATAAAAAAGAAGATGTGGTATGATTGCCAATGAGACAACTCTTCACAAGAGACCAAATGACACAGAAATTAAGAACTATAGGTCACCGTACGGCCTTCAACAATGAGCAAAGCCTATACCTCATAGTCAACTATAAAAATGACAAATGTAAAACAATTCAGCGTCCTAATTTACGTACCAAAAAATGAAGGAAAAACAAATATGTAACACAGCAACAAACCACAACCACTATACAGGCTCCTGACTTGGGACAGGCACATACATACAGAATGTGGCGGGGTTAAACATGTTAGCAGGATCCCAACCCTCCCTTAACCTAGGACAGTGGTGTAACAGTACAACATAAGAACGAACTATAAAAATCAGTTGAAAAAGGCTTAACTCATCAGATTTAGTATGACGATAAATTTTCACTTCTGTACTGGTACTATGAACAACAAATTTATTTATTTTGTAAAAAATATTTCAGTACTCCTAACAACAAAATTATTATATTTAAATTTACCTGTGAACATTATTTTAGCGCCATTTTGTCCCTTGCAGGTTAGAGTTGTCTTTTTGACATTGTTTTACATCCCCTTTTTTTATTAATACATGTATTGTATTTATATTGTGTCACAGGCTGGCGCCTGTTAAAACGTTAAAACTTGCTGTTTTTGTTTGCACCTGTCCTAAGTCAGGAGCCTGTTGTTCAGGCATTGTCGTTTGTTTGATGTGGTTCATAAGTGTTTCTTGTTTCTCGTTTTTTATATAGATTAGACCATTGGTTTTCCTGTTTAAATTGTTTTACACTAGTCATTTTGGGGCCCTTTATAGCTTGCTGTTTGGTTTTAGCCAAGGCTCCATGTTGAAGGCCGTACTTTGACCTATAATTGTTTACTTTTTATACATTGTGACTTGGATGAGAGTTGTCTCATTGGCACTTATTCCACATCTTCTTATTTCTATCATCATAGATACCAGGATAAAATGTTGTTCGCCAGACACAGGTTTCGTCTACAAAAGACTCATCAGTGACGGTCGAATCAGATATAAAGGCCAAATAAAGTATGAGGTTGAAGATCATTGAGGACCTAAATTCCAAAAGATTGTAGTATACATTTCCTTTTATTTCAGTTGACATAATGAATATCTTACATTTCTGATTTCAGGCAACTGGTTCAAAAATTGGAGTAACATTAGAAGCAATTACCACCATCTCTGTTGCACTTGGCATTTCATTTTACTATAGCTGGAAGTTAACCTTGGTAACTCTTGGATTCATGCCATTTATGATCGCTACAGGAATTGTACACAGTAAAATCCTGACAGGATTTGCAAGGGGAGATAAAAATTCCTTAGATCAAGCAGGAAAGGTAAGGATGGTTATGATGATATTTTAAATGCTAAGTTTTTTTTTTCAAAACAGTTAAAAACATATATAATTTGCATAAATAAAGTTCAAACACAGTAAAACAAGAAATATTTTATATCTACCTGGACCTGCAGTAAACTAAAAGTGTTTTGATTATAATTCTGTTGTCTGGCAATGAATCAGTAGGGTCAGATTGGGATCACTTCTGTTGTCTTACATTGTTGCTGTTGTCCACATCACACTTTTTTAATCTGAAACTCCTTGAATATTGCCACCAAACTTGTACATATTCATTTACAAAACATGAAATTGTGCACCTGCTAATTGATTTTTTATCTGAGTGATTTTGGGGTTTCCCATACCAACACTTGGAGTCACCCAATTCTGCTAATATTATTTGGAGACATGCAGTGTAAAACCTATCTTCCAAGTAAGACTTGTCAATTTGTTACACTGTGTAGCTGTTTATTTAAAATTAGTCACTAGTGTATACTTATCAAATTTTCTTGTCAATGACTGGCATATAAAAACATTTCAAATTTTTATCACATTATTAGTTGAACGCTCATAAAACATATTTAACCCCGCCACATTCCTTATGTGCCTGCCTGTCCCAAGTTAGGAACTTGTAGTTTATTGGTTGTCATTGGTTCCTGTCTGTCATATGTTTTTCTTAAATTGTTGTGTTATAAATTAGTGTGTTAGTTTTCTTGTTTGAATTGTTTTACATTTTTCATGTCAAGACCTTTTACAGCCAACTATATGGTATAAGTTTTTCTCAATGTTGAAGGCTTTATGATTGCTTTCAATTGCTTACACCTACTTCATTTGTACTCTGGTTAATTGATGTCTCATTGTCAATCACACCAAATCTCTTAATTTCTATATTATCAAGTCTCAATTTTGTAATAATATAATATTTACAAAAATTCCCAAAAAATGGAAAATATGTAATGCAGTGGAGGCTTCATTTCATAAAATCAGTGCTGTCAAGTCTCACACAATTTGCATGAGACTCACATATTTTCCTGCTTATTTGGTTGCATTTTCCTTTGATCTATTGTTTTTTCTCTTTGATCTTTACAATTTTTGCCAAATCTAACTCATTTGCTTCATGAAAACTTGACAGCCCTGTAAAATGATTATGAAATTCTTAGAAAGTGTTCTTTGTTAATTTCAGCTATTTTCCGAGGTTGTAGATAATGTAAGAACAGTAGTATCATTGACAAGAGAAGAAACATTTATAGGACTGTATAATGGACATATAAACCATGTTTACATGTAAGTATTAGCAAATATATAATTTAGATTGTTAGTTGCTTGTAATAATTTTACATAAATGCTTAAAAAGCTACTGTGAATTTATATTATTATTCATGGGATACAAATGTTTTTGATTTCATGTGTATAGGTGAACTATTATTTTTTTTCAAAATGTAGTCATAAAATGTAGTCTTTTATATTTATATAAACATTTATATTATAAATTAAGGCGACAGTAGTTTACCAATGATCAAATCTTGTAAATTAATTAGGGAGAGACAAATCAAGGCAACAAACAGGACTTGAGGGAAATCCACAGTTTGACCTCCATATTAATTTACACTCAGAAAAAAATGTCACTGTCCGGAATAGGACACAGTTTGTAAAATTACAGATCAGACAACTATACTGGTAAAAAAGGCAATATCTAATTGTTAACTTTTTATACATTGTGACTTGGATGGAGAGTTGTCTCATTGGCACTCATACCACATCTTCTTATTTATTGTCTCGCCTTGACAGAGTCAAAAAGCGAGACATAGGTATGCTGTTTCCGGCGGCTGCTGCATCAACAATGTATTAGTTTGTGATTAGGTCTAGTTTAAGGTGAACCACTAGTGGTTGGTCAATTATATTTGGTATGCAGTTGTATTAGCACTGGCACATCTTATTTCCATGGAGATTATTTGGCCCTGCCCCCTCAGTCATGGTCTATTGACTTTGAAACTTTGGCTTAATTTACATGTATTAGTTTGTGATAAGGTCAGTTTATGGGGAACCACTAGTGGTAAGTCAATGATATTTGATATGCAGTTGTATAAGCATTGAAAGGGAACGACTTATGATAAGTCTATGGTATTTGGTATGCAGTTGTTTTAGTATTGGTACATCTCATTTCCATGGAGATTGTTTTGCCATGTACCTTCAGTCATGGTTCATTGACTTTGAATATTTGCATAACTTACATGTTAAAGTATTGTTTTAATTTCAACATCTGCATTATCAAAAGTACAAAAAGGCGAGACATATCTCTGTGTTAACAGTTTAAAATATCTAACTGTTTGATATTTATATCTAACTAATTTTATACAGATCATTAATTAAAAGGTCAATCTGGAATGTTATTGTTTACGGTATATGTAACTGCACAATATTCGTATTTTATACAGATCATCTAGGAAGAGGTCAGTCCTGAATGGTATTGTTTATGGAATATCTAACAGTATAATGTACTTTGCTTATGCTGGTGCCTTTACATATGGATCTTATCTTGTACAAAAGGGCGAACTTGAGTTTCATCTTGTGTTCAGGTAAGTTAAACTGTATGAAAATAAAGATTTTCAAACTAAAAAAAAATCGAGAATGCAAGGCATATGTAGGCAAATCTGGTGAAGTCTGTGATGATGGCATTGGTCATTTGTATGAAGCTTAGTATTTCAGATTATAGAAGAATTAGGTGGCTAATGGTATCAAGTGTCTGTCTGGCATATGTCAGTCAACTTTGTCCTCATTGTTATGGTTCAATGATATGTTAAAGTCAAATTTTAGTTTTCCCATTTTGATATAGTTTGTCCGTCACTTTGAGTAATAGGTCAGTTGTATTTGGTCTATATACAGGCTGTAAGGTGTAGGAGTCACATGACTTTCACTCTGATATACAAAAAATTATCTACCGATAAATGAGATTACTTATTATTACTCATAGTAACTGAGAGCTGACCTAAGTATGAAAATTTACTGTTGATTATTGAACAGTGAGGTCAACTGATTTCTTGTGACACCTGTCATGTACATTTCACAACCAAACTATAGTTATTTTGGGGCCTTTTATAGCTGACTATGCAGTATGGGTTTTACTCATTGTTGAAGGTCGTACGGTGACCTATAGTTGACAATTTCTGTGTCATTTGGTCTCTTGTTGAGAGTTGTCTCATTGGCAATCATACCACATCTTTTTATTTTTATATAGACCAAAATTTAGTTGACCTATTTCTCATAGTTAAAAAAGCTTAATGTTGATAAAAAAAGTCTGAAAAGAGGTCAAGGTAAGGATTCTCCTGCCAGATGGACATTTATACCTCACAACCATTCTATAGGCCAAATTGATATGACCTAATTCTGATTATACACCTTTATCTTTCCAGAGTATTTGGTGCAATTATATTTGGAGGAATGCACGTTGGTCGAACATTGTCAATGTCTATGGACTTCAAGAAAGGACAATTAGCAGCAGCCAGACTATTCCAGGTTATAGAGAGAAAACCTAAAATAGATGCACAAGAAGACAAGGGAGACAAGCCAGTAAGTGAAAATTGTTTTTCAATGGAGTGTATTATCCTGTAATCGCAATATTATACAATTATGGCCTTCATCTAAAGTAAATATTCAAAATTATTAAACCAACCAATGGTTTTTTTCCCTAAGATCAGAAGGAAGGACATAATTGTGTTTTTTTCTCACTGAACAGAATATTTCTACCAGACTGCAACAAATGAAGAGAAATAACTAGTTATTTCTTTGATGTGCAAAAGCCTGCAAAATTTAATAACATTATTTTTACTATGTGCATATTCCCAAACAGTTATTGCCTATGACAAATTTGCTGTGGGAAGAAGGTTTTTTTGTCGATGGAAAGAAAACATGATTTTTATCCTTAAATAGAATACTATCTAGTGGAATTTTTTATTTCACTTTTTAGCCTTGTGTATTGTTAATGTGTAGTAAAAGTTACTGACATATACACAAATATAACAATGAACACTGAAAAAAATGACTTTTTCGATTCTTTTTAGGAAAAAATTGAGGGAGATATTGAACTAAGCAAGGTGAAGTTCCATTACCCAGCTAGACCAGATGTACAAGTTCTGAAAGGACTGACAATAAAGGCCAAACAAGGAGAGACCATAGCTTTAGTTGGGACCAGTGGGTGTGGCAAAAGTACAACAGTACAGTTAATGGAAAGGTTTTATGATCCTGAAGAGGGCCAAGTGGTAATTTTTTAAGTAACTTTGTGGTAAATTGGTGTTTCAGTAGCAGGTATAAATTGGTTGACAACTCCGTAGAACACATTTTTATATTGAACCTGATTGAAAAATACAAACAATATACAGTTTCTTTTGAAAGACTCGGTCCATTGTAATTATATTGCTTTTAACAATCTTGTTGTCATCTAGTGTAAGAATTCTATTTCATTAATTTGAGAATGGATACCATGAAAAGAATGTTGTTGTAAAAAAAAATTGATAATCTTTACATTTGGATTTAAATGTGGATGAACTGGTCCCATTAGTGATTTAATGATAAAATGATTAAAATACATATTCACAATGTGATATATATATATTTAAACAAAAACAAAATCTAAGGATATAGGATATAAGAATACAGAGCATTTTGGAGCAGTCTCAGATTTTATCCTCAGGGAACAACTTTGAAAGATGAGCAAAATAAACCAGAATGATTTGAAAGGTAACTAAAATTCACATGCCATTTAATTTACTTTCTAATTGCAGATGCTTGACAGTAGAAATGTCAAAGACTTAAACATAAACTGGTTACGATCTCAGATAGGAATAGTTTCTCAGGAACCAGTCTTATTTGACACAAGCATTGCAGAGAATATAGCTTATGGTGATACATCACGAAACGTACCTATGTCAGAAATCATTGAAGTATCTCGATCAGCAAATATACATTCTTTTATTGAAAGTCTACCTCATGTAAGTGACTCAGTATGAATAAAACTGAAGTACCATATCTTTGGTTACATGCAATTTGGATATTCCTTACCAATTTATATTTCATACCTATTGAAATATGTGTTTATAAACAATTTAGCTGTAAAAGAAAATATGATCCCAATTGGGTTGAAATTTATCTTTTCTATAAAAAAAAATTGTATGGGATCACAAAATCATTTATTTGACTTTTTTTTTTATATAGATAAAACATGATTATTATAGTCTAATTTTTAAATAATGTTTGAAATAGAAAAAATAGATTGAAGATTAATAATTTTCAAAGAAATATACATATTAAGCAATAAAAATTATACGATACAAACAGTAAAGTTTGCAATAATCTAATATTCACTATATTTTGAAGTTGGTTTCAAATAAAAAAATATTTTTGAAACGGCAGACTGAGTCCTTATGCTACTAATAGTATGTACCAATTGGACAGAACAATAATGAACTTTAAGTATAAATTGTGGCCACAATGGTTTGTTTAAGTAGTCTCTCTGTCAAAATAAAACATGAATTTAACAATAAAAACAAAAAACAAAACAAAAAAATATTAATTATTGATTTATTCTGAGACTTGAGAGGTTTTTTAAATTATTTTTTTACAGTCAGGTTTTGACCAGTTTTTTAACAGAGGTTGAATTACAATATGAGTTAACTAATTCTAATTTGGTGCATAGTATGATAAGAAGACTTTGAGCATTGAAAAGCAATATCACTCTTGGTTGTATACAGTCATATTTGCCAGACATGACCTAAACTGAAAGGTCAATGACCGAAATGGTAGATTGAGATATAAGTAAAAAAATATTCAGAAATTATTTTGGTCATTTCGTTGAGATCGGGTCTCTTTTAAAATCGCCAATTTGCAATAATTTGTGAATGTGTATAGACATGCTTTTCCTGTATTAAAACTGACACTTAAGTACAGTTTGGTCCATCCAATAACCATATTATTGCCTCCTGCAGATATTGGCTGATGATCGCTAATCCTGTTCACACCTTACAGAAGGGATTCATGAAAAATTAACTGTTTTAAGTCATTAGAATCATTGCAACTTTAAACTGTTGCTTTCCATGACTTGTTCATGAATGTTTTTTAGAAAAACGGTAAGTAACTGCATAAAGTAAATGCAGCCACACCTTCAATACCAGTTTGTTGATGCCATGAATCTGTGAATATTTTCGACAGTCTTTAAAAAGGACTCCAACTTTCAAGTCATCTCAAAATGAAAAAATTTCCAGTTCTTGATCATGGTAGCAATCTTTGCCTTTTGATATGGTTTGATGCCAGTTCTATAGATAGTTTTTGATTGACGCAATTTGAACAAGAGTTACTTCCTTTTGCCGCCATGTTGGAGGTCTATGTGCACAAATTCCTTTATAAATCAATAAAATTCAGCAAGACTCTAGAAATAGTTGTTTTCTGAGCTATTATAATTTCTTTCAGGCTTGCTTAATTCATCACTACGACGTAGTAAGGAAATTATCAGACTTGTTTGTACCACGTTTCAATTTGATTAAAATAAAAGAAAATCAACCATTTATATCTCCAAAATGGTGGTCAAGGGAAATAACTCAAACTTAAATTATGTTATATGGAAACCTATCTATTTTTATACGACCGCAAAAAATTTGCGTTCGTATATTGCTATCACCTCGTTGTTGTCGTCGTTGTCCTTGTCCGAAGACATTTGGTTTCCGGACAATAACTTTAGTATAAGTGAATGGAATTCTATGAAATTTAAACACAAGGTTTAATACCACAAAAGGAAGGTTGGGATTGATTTTGGGGGTTATGGTACCAACAGTTTAGGAATTAGGGGCCAAAAAGGGGCCAAAAACAAGCATTTTTGTAGTTTCCTGACAATAACTTGTGTGTAAGTGTTTGGATCTCTCTGAAATTGTACCACAAGGTTCCATATCACAAAGGGAAGGCTGAGATTGAGTTTGGGATTAATTGCCCCAAATGTTCAGGAATAAGGGTCAAAAAGGGGCCAAAAACAAGCATTTTTCTAGTTTCATGACAATAACTTGTGTTAAAGTTTATGTAACTCTCTGAAATTGTACATTTTTCCTGAAAAGAAAATAATCTTCTAAATTTAAAATAAAAATTGGGGGGGGGGGGGGATTTTTTGAGGGTTCATATTTTTTATCGTCAAAATTTTTGAAATTTCAAATTTTTTGCAAATTTTTTTTGTGGGGGGGGAGGTTCATACTTTTTATCTTCTAAATTTTTCAAAATTTTTAAATTAAAAAAAAAAAAAATTTGGTGGGGGGGGGGGGGGGGGAACAATTTTTTGGGGGAATTTTTGGGGTTTTTTTTCCTAAAAACTTTTCCATAGATTATTTCTGATTTATATTAAAAAGCAACAAATACTGATATGGCAGGAGATAAACACCAAACAGGGTGTGTAAATTAATATATTTAACTAAGTATTGCGCAACAGCACAGTATTGCACAATACCGCAGTATTGCACAACAGCACAGTATTGCGCAACAGCAAGAAATCTACAATTGAAAATAAACACAAATCTTTTAACCAATTTCAATGGGATTAATTTAAAGTCTAATTTTTGGGGATTCTTACCTTGTATTACTATTTTGGATATTGGGCCCCTTTTTTAAATTGGTCTACATTGAGGTCTAAAGGGTCCAAAATTAAAGTTTGTTTGATTTCATCAAAAACTGAATTATTGCGGCTCTATGATATGCTGAATCTTATTGTGCATTTAGATTTTTTCTTTTGGGCCCTGTTTTGAAATTAGTTCATATTAAGGTTTGAAGGGTCGAAAATTAAACTTGTTTTTCGATTTAAACTAAAATTAAATTTTTGGTGTTTTTTTTTATATGCTGAATCTAACCATGTTGTTAGATTTTGGATATCAGACCATACTAGGTAAATTAAATGTCCCATTTCAAATTTTTAAGATCTTTGACCACATTTATTTTGTGTCAAAAACCTATATTATGTCAAAAATTTGATCACAATCCAAATTCAGATAGTATCAAGCTTGAATATTGTGTCCAAACTTGCCCAAACTGTTCAGGGTTCCACCTCTGTGGTCGTATCAGGCTGCACTCTGCAAAGCATTTTATTTCATTTACTTTTTGAAAGTATGTTGCCAATCAAAAAAATTGAAATCTGCAGAAATAAAAATACTCAATTTTATCACCAAATTGTGAGAGAGAAAAAAATGTTCTGCAAACATTTCCAGTCATACTTAATTCAATTAAACATTAGCACCGTGTATCATCAGTACAGTGGATATAACCAAGCGGGGTGTGATCGATTTTTTCCTGACACGGTAAGAAAATCTTTGTTTTGTTTTATCTACATTCAGTGTAAATTTCTCAACATCTGAAATTCCTGCTCCCAAATAATTTTCGCATTGATTTTTTCCTATTTATAAGACAACTTTTATATTCTTATAAGAATAATAAACTTTTACATGCGCAAATAGTTGTGAATGTCAACACCAACTTTCAATTTCGATACAGTTATGGAGCCATTTACATGTTTTATTGTTGGCCAAAAGTAAAAGTTACCAATCATAAACCTACCTGTGATAACTCATTCCATGAAACATTTTGGGTAATAAACAAGTGTGAAAATTAAGTTTTTGTGTACGGTGTACATTCACTTAACTATGCACCGTACAGAAGGATTTATGTGGTCAGCTATACACCGTACACAACGCTTCTTTTCGTAATAAAATATCGAAAAATAACATATGTATGAAAGATTTCAATGCCAATTATTGAAACAGCTATACTTATTACGCACACACAGTGGCCTTCTATCAGAAAAAGAGTTGCAATGAATATAGAATCATATCGGATGAGATGAGCGCCAACTTCTTTGACAAGTATTTTCACATGTTTTTAGTAAGTGTTCTTGTTTTGGGAAAATAATGAGACTTCTCTAATCATCAACCTACGACCAAATCATTTCTTAAAACAACAATTATGTTTAGATTGAAGTACACATTGATATTATGTAAACAAAACAAAGATTTTATTACCATGTCAGGTCAAAATCGATCACGCCCGCTTGGTTAGTACCTATATCCGCTGTATTGATGATACCCGGTGATTAGGAAATATGAATAAATTTTGAAAGATTTATATATCATGAATGAATTACTACCAACAGGGATATGAAACAAACGTTGGTGACAAAGGAACACAACTTAGTGGTGGACAAAAGCAGAGAGTTGCAATAGCAAGAGCTTTAGTGAAGAATCCTAAAATACTTCTACTGGATGAGGCAACATCAGCATTAGATACAGAAAGTGAAAGGGTTAGTATGGATACAAATATGGAAAATATGCAAATTATGCACTACAAGAAAAAGATTTCTTTATTCTCATGTTTGAACTTTATCTTTTGTATGAAATTGAAAAATTGTAAGCATGCACTTTATGCCAAGTGTGATGTCATTTTGAGAACAACTATATTAAAGTAAATTTTCAAAAAAGACATATTGTTTATCTAGTCATTGTTTTTGCTATGTTTTCAGCTATGACTTTTTGTGATTATATTCATGAAATACAAATTTAAAATTTTAGCTAAAACAACTTCTTTAATATTCTCTTTTCACAAAAAAAATCATGATAAAAATTTAGCAAAAGTTAAACTGAAATGTACTTATGAACTTGTGAGTATTTACTCTCTTTAGATTTTTATTTAAAAAAGTTGAAGGACTACTGTATGCTTTATAGTTTGTTATTTAGATATACCATCAGAAGAAGGACTACTGTATGCTTTATAGTTTGTTATTTAGATATACAATCAGAAGAAGGACTACTGTATGCTTTATAGTTTGTTATTTAGATATACAATCAGAAGAAGGACTACTGTATGCTTTATAGTTTGTTATTTAGATATACAACCAGAAGAAGGAATACTGTATGCTTTATAGTTTGTTATTTAGATATACAACCAGAAGAAGGACTACTGTATGCTTTATAGTTTGTTATTTAGATATACAACCAGAAGAAGAACTACTGTATGCTTTATAGTTTGTTATTTAGATAGACAATCAGAAGAAGGAATACTGTATGCTTTGTAGTTTGTTATTTAAATATACAATCAGAAGAATAGTTGATTCCATTGGTTTTTCTTTCAGATTGTGCAGGAGGCTCTGGATAAAGCACAACAGGGGCGGACATGTTTAGTCATAGCTCATAGACTATCCACCATCAGGAACTCAAATAAAATAGCCATCATACACAAAGGAGAGGTTGTAGAGTTAGGAAACCATGCAGAACTTATGGCATTTAAAGGAATTTATTACAAATTAAGTACCCACAATCAAGGAAAATAAAGCAACTGGTTACCAAAATGGGAACAATGACAATCATGTACCTTTGTTAATGTCAGAATGTCTTATAGTATAATGCATGAGGGTTAAGAAACAATCCTTTAGGATATGTTGATTGTTGTTGTTTAATGCAACTCTCATCAAACTTGGCTGCATCCTGATGGTCAGTTCTTGTTGGTGGAGGAAACTGGAGTACCAGATGGAGAACATCAACATTCAACACAAAAACTGGTAACCATGAATTAATTAAGATTGGAGTCAAGCACATCTTGCCACAAGCAGGATTCAAACTCACAACCTCAGTGTTGACATGCTATTCATCAATGCAGCTGATTTACCTAGACCACTTGGCCATTGAGGCCCTAGATTCCTTTAGGTTTAGAACCACTTATTCAGGCCCGGTCCTACATAAAGAAAATAGAACATATTTTAAACAAAATATTTCCTGTAACTTTGTCAAAAGTAAAAAATAAAGGCTGCAGTAGTACATCGCTGTTCAATAGTCATAAATCGATTAAGCGAAAACAAATCCCGGTTACAAACTAAAACTGAGGGAAACATTTTGAGTAATTTTGGAATCAAATGAAAGCTAAAGGACTTTGGATCCCTGTAGAACCCTTGTTGAAACATTTTCTGAAAGACTGAAATTAAAATAGGTGTGTATATTTACCCTCTTCCTCAGGTCAGAAGCCTTCATGAACAAGTGTGCTCTAATATGCAATTAAAAGTATTTTAAAATTTTCAGCGAAGTCAGAAAAAGGTACAGTTTTGACATGAAATGACTGTCACTTTACTTGAACTTATGACAAAATAGCAATATATGCTTGAAATGGTAGAATTTAACATAGAAGTCAATGGGACTATAAATTAGTGGTTTTATTCCTATTTAGAATACTGATGGGAACATTTTTTACCCATATGACCAACAATTTCTAAATAGTTGAACAAATATTTGTTTAAAGTATTATGTTTTTTATATTTTGTTGTTAAGGTTTACTATTACTATTTTGTTTTTTTTTTGTTGTTCTACATCAGTTTATTACAGGAATGATTAAATGCAATATAAAAATACACATAAATGTTAAATGTTGTCCTCAATTTAATAAAATTAATGTTTTTTATATTTTGTTGTTAAGGTTTACTATTACTAATTTGTTTTTTTGTTGTTCTTCATCAGTTTATTACAGGAATGATTAAATGCAATATAAAAATACACATAAATGTTAAATGTTTTCCTCAATTTAATAAAATTAATGTTTTTTATATTTTGTTGTTAAGGTTTACTATTACTATTATGTTTTTTTGTTGTTGTTCTACAGCAGTTTATTACAGGAATGATTAAATGCAATATAAAAATACACATAAATGTTAAATGTTGTCCTCAATTTAATAAAATTAGAACTTGCCAAAGTTATTTTCACTAATTAATATTACCTCAATAAGATGTTATTTATTTAGCTTGTTGATTGCATCAATCATATTTGTCCTAAAGACATTTTTGACTCACTAAGAAATTTGCCATTCTTAAATGTAATATTTTTAGATTCTTTTTCACATTTTTTGCAGGAATTTGGAAATTGATTACTTTTTTGTTTGTTTGCTTATCTTATGTAGTTGTCTGCAAACATTTTTTTAAATCTTCTCATATGATAATTTTCTGTACATGTTAATTTATCTGCATGATTTTTTTGTGTGTTAAATTTGGGATGACATAATCTCGGTCATATTTGCACACTATAGTACAAATCCTCCTCAACCCATTATTACAATTTTTTTTAACTTTCTCACAAGTGTCACCATAAAATGCTATTGTGCATGTTTATTTTGTTATTGATGTCAATTATTTAGGGATTTTCCCTTACCAAAGCATGGTTTTTGCAGGAATATCATTTTGTGAGATTTGCTCACAATACTTCTAGATTTCAATTGCTTTTTTTAGATGGTATACTTTATCCCTCCATCAGTACAAACTTTGTACAATAATCCATATTTGTTTGAGTGATTGTCATGAAATTGTAAACAAAAAGAATAAGGTTTGAAGCTCCCTTTTTATGTTGTTTGTCATCAAACATGTGATAATTTAGATATACTTTGCTAACTTTCATGAAATTTTAAAAAGTAGGCAGAAAGCCCTCTGTATAATTTAGAGGACTATCTTGCATGTGTTTTGAAATTACGGGTCTTAATTATAAAAAGGGAGAAGACAGTTTTTTGTTCTTGTTTGATAACTTTGTGACACTTTCCCTGAATGACACTAAATTTAACAGTGAAATCACAACTTATTAATGAACTCGTTCTTTAATGTGATGATTTTCTGAGAATTCTCTACTTATTTCATAAAACAATTTGTATTAATTATGCATTTATTGTATATTTGGAATCCTTAAAAGAGATTTGATATGCAAAATAACCCTATATTCTGAAATGGAAAAAGTTGCATTATTTTAGCATTTTTCACAGTTTACTTTGGTGAATTCTTGGGAATTGTTTGCAGTTATCATTGATAAATTCAAACATTTTATGAAAATTTGTGAAATACTTTAATTTTTGATTGATATGTATTGCAATATTATAACTGTGATTGGTTAATTTTATTGCAGCTAACAATATACAAACATTATTGCTTTGTTCATTTAGTTTTGTATCATTTTTTTCCCTTTTTTTAATTAGCATTTTTATTTAATTGTATTCAGCAAAAGTAACTTTATAAGTTGGTATGTTTTCTAGGTATTATAGTATCTTTATTATTTGTATTATGACATATCTTTGGAATCTCATATATTTATGGCTATTCCTATTTTATACATGTGTATTCTTATATGATCACCATATATTTATATTTATATTTATGTTTTATTTAATTTTCTGACAAAAGATCTGCTGTAACTTTAAATGTAAGTTATATTGACCAACATCAACATTTAACATCTTGCCATTATGGACAAATCTTGACATTATTTATGACATGCAAAATATAAAATATGTTAAATTGGTAAACATTCCATTAACATTATTATTTTACCATTTGTTTTTTTTTTGCAAATGTAACCACACTGGAAAAATATAGGACAATTGATATTATCAGAAAATAGTCTATCTATCCATATATTTTTTTTTTTTAATTTGGGGAGTAATTTGGCTGCTCTGCTATTCTATTATCTAAATGAAAAATAGTTCCATCAAAAATAGAGAATTTGTAATTAAGAAAACAAAATGTGTCTATCTGTGACACAGATATTCTTGAAAAGTCAACAAAATAATGATGGTGTCCAGTAATACTTTTGAAAAAATGACTTCATATTTGCTCTTAAAAATCCTCAGTTAAATAGTTTTCTTATAAGCAGCAACCCTCTAGTCAAGGAAATCATTACCCAGTCAAAACAAATCAAAGACTGTTTGCAATTGGTATTTGCTACTTCTCTGCAAAGCACTTGGCATTAAGGAGCAACAGCAAAGACCAGTTGGTTTCTGAGACAATACCATGAGTATGTCTTTTGAATATGAAATGTCTTCCTGTGGACTGTAACCTTATGAACTAGCATGCTAAAAATCCTACTCGTTCTAGTTCTAAGCAGTGTTCATATTCATATCTCCTCCTGAAATGCATGTAATTTTTGTCACTGAACATTAAACACCAATCTATATAGGAAACGCAATTCATTGAATACTGTATCAACTGGGATGTATATACTCACTATGTAGGTGCTGCTGAAATGTTTCTTCATAAACATTGCATGGAAAGTTCACAATAGGAAAATTTAAATCATCTTTTTCTTCTGTAAAATATACCTTCTCTCATTATCAACTGCTAGATGCAATTCGAGTTATTAAGAGGATCTAACTGTATTTATAGTGTCATCTAACTCAAGTTAAATGGGTTATAGTGATCAATACAGTTCTCAAACAAGAATAAATCTATAAACTGAATGTGAAGCTAAAGTGATAATGCTACCTTCTCTTCATATATCTTTAAAGCCCATGTATGAAGTGCATATGCCTCATACAAATAAAGCATCACGTCATTGAAAAGAGGAGCACATTTTGTTCCCGATAGGAATGCAAATTGTCTGTTGGAAAATACATCCACTGAATGTAAAAGGTAAAATGTCATTAAAAAAATCAAGCATCTTAATGATATCAGTTTGGGATAACTTCTTGTTGGAATCAGTTGGTTTTTTTTTTTAATTAGAATTATCCCTTTCTTAATATAATATATGTAGATATGATAATCAATCTGTTTTATGATACAACATTGGACTAATTCTTTCAATCCAATCTGTCTTTTAATTTAGAATGAGGAATATTTCTGTAAAGAGTAAAAAAAAGGTATATTTATGAAGTAAGATAAAAAAAATTAAATGCATTGCAAGACTTGTAGATATGAAGATCTGTTAACACCTATATATGAAATATTTCATTGATACTTTTTTGTAAAATATACTTACATCTCCTTATTTGTATATAATTTGGAGGTTGGTAATGTTGGTTTCTTGGTAAGATTCAACGAAGAACGATAAATGAATTATTAACTTGCAGGTTTTACATGAAAATTTTTTGTATTTTACCATTGGTTGTTCATTGTTAAATTTTTCACATAATCAGCAACAATTCATAGACTTGTGTTTCAATGTCAGGTGTCTTTTCAGCTTTTCACATTACCAGTAACATGTATTCAAGGTCTTTCATAACCTTTTTTGTTTTATTTTAATCAGATGAAATATTTGACCAACATTGTAGTTCTTTGCTCTAAGTAACCAGCTTTACCCAAAAAGATATTTGGTCATGTAAGATATCTTTCATTGAAATATCTGTTTGGGTAATGCTGTTATTCATTGTTGTTACTCATATTTTAAGAATATTGATGGCAAGATCAAAAGATGTGGCAATTTTGGCATATTCTTTTTATTTGAAGAAGTTTAAAGGATTGAGCCAATATGTGCCAAATTTTGATTAGTTACATTACAAAGTGTTATAACTGGAGGTATCTCCAAAGATGTACTTCCAAACAAAATAACAACAATACAGACTAACATATACATTTATTCAGATGTTCTTGTTGAATACTGTTATTTTGATATAATTTGCCATATCATATTGTTTTGTAGTAGAGATGATGTTTTGTTTTTCAAAATAAAAGTTTCAGTCCGTCGTTATTTTGTTTTTTGTTTATATTTATCTTTTAGTGTCTGATTTAATGCATTGTTTTGCCATCACTGCCTATCATTGTAACGGTAACTGATAAACACATTTGAAAATATGAGGTTAATTTCAATGAGTCAGCAACCCAATGATGGCACAGGTTGAGGGCTACAGTTTAAAAAATATTCATTAAATTCAATCATGGATTCATGCAAAACACAAATAAAGTATATATTAGTGTATCATGCTTAGCTGATCCATAAATAAAACAGTATCTTCCCTGTTATTATGATTAGGTGGTCCAGTTTTGTTTAAGAGCATCAAATACTTTCTGCCAGTGTAGAAGCTTTAAGTAATTGGAATTAAAACATCTGGTTTTTGTATTTAATATTTATCAGGAAACCAGATAAAAGTACATAGTACATGTATTAAGATAAATCATCTGACATGCACCAATATTAACTAGTGTTATCTATTGTATTTTCGTATTTGTATTCCAAAAGTAGTTTATAAAAATACAAAATTGTTTACAAACTGAGGAAAAGGGAGATTTTCCTAAGCAAGATTTTATAAAGCTTGTTTACTTCAAGTATGAAAAAGAGTACACAGTTATGGTATATATGTAAACCAATCTAAAATCGTAACTACAAGGTATTCTCAAAGATCAAAAGCCTCTTCCATTTTCCTCATGTCTCTTCGGGTTTAACTCATGTCAAGTGTGTACAACATGTATCTGAAAACTTAGGTGAAAACGAGACTTGCATACAAACTGGCTAGAATTATATCTTTTATCTGCGTAAGTGTTGCAAAATTTAAAGTTATATATATTATGGGCATGATTCAGACTATGCTGAAGGCATAACTTGTAATTGAGTATTTTAAACTAAAATGACAAAAATAATGGGTGTATCAGTACTGATTGGATAAATCTCAGGAAAGACTTTGTCAAGCTGTTCTGATTCAGCTTCCTTGGATCCCCATT